CAGTCCAGTTGCTGAATCTTCACTCGTATTAGGTGACATCACCACTCCTATCCAGCCTACAAAGCTCTGATTGGCCAGTTGTTGCTCGAACCAGTCTGGAACCAGCCTACAAAAATGCCCTTGTCACATCAAAAGTGTCTTATACTACTGCATTATTTGATACAGAGACACACAATTGCAACTCAATCCCTGACTGAACTACAAATTTGACCCCAGTAACTCATATTTAGCATTGTGGTTGTTCCTTACTAAAATACCAGCCAGCAACAAACTACTCCTGCCTTTAAAAGCATGTCATTGGCTGGTTCTTCCTGTGAGAAAGTCTACTGGCACCCGAAAATCGTTGGGCCAAACCTATTAATCCCCAGAATTTGTGTAGTGTGGGCCAGTGGAAAAATCTTAGTTGGGGAAGTGAATAACCAACAGTCTTCGCATCCCTTCAACCACACTGTACTCTGAACGGGTCCAGTGGAGCTGCTCAGGGGCCAAAAATAACCTCTGAGAGCTGAAACAAGATAATAACTTCTTTTTGTCTCCCCAAAACATCATCTTTTGCCAAAGCATGCATGTAATAAAATGTTGGATTTCTACAGTGTCTTTTTTGTATAGCTTGACTTATTTTTGTGTCTCCAGGCTGTTGTTTATAAAATGTGTACAGTAAATAAATGATTGTTAAAGAAAAGTTACATTGAGGAATTCTGTCATGAAATTTTCTTTTTAACCAACATAATAATGGATGTTTGAGACTGTGACAAGGATAATGTAGGTTTGTTACAACTTTAGTCTTACTTTCATTGCTTTGTCCGCTTAGAAGCTGTTCTGGAGCTGTCGATCACATTGCATGGTCTTCATCAGCCGATGGAGTTTGCCCTGTTGTCCTTAAATTGTACATGTCTTCATTTTCTTTGTGTTTGAGGACTGCTCTTCCATGTTGGCTTAAATCTGCTGATGTGACAGAAGTGATAGAAAGCTCCAGGACATCTACTAAATGGACCTTCAGGTGAAAATATTTCACCAGCTGCTGTTTTCAAAGTTGAGAATGAACTTTGAAGCTAACATGGATGATCAGAACGATTACTCACTCATGATGATGAAGACCATGTGATAAGATAGAAATCTCCAGAAGACATAATAAATTGAACTTGTGGTGATATTTTTTTATCAGATGATTTACAGCAGATATAGAGGACAGGACATATAGTAGGTACACCAAAAAATATATTTTTAAATGTACAGGTGACACTGATCTGTGTTCACTGCTTCATGTAAATAATTTCTGCTGTCCTTCCAAAGTACTCTCACAATGCAGTGTCTTTGAAACAAAAAGACAGGGCTCTCCTGTCTGGGAAGATTAAACCAACATCAGGTGCAACCTTGATGGTGAGGGGAAGATGACTTCCTGCTCGCCATACAAACTGTACATGGAGAGGTTATGGCGGTCTGGAGAAAATCCTATTCACACCTGGCTCAAACACTGCACTATTCGGGCCACAATGGGAGCCTTTCTTTCCCTCAAGTGACACAGAGCGTCCAAGGTCAGTAAAGTTCAGGAAGCACATGATTTTTATTTGAAAATCTATAAATTGTGAAAATGAATGCCCCTGTGTTTATTTGTGCTTCTCTCCACTCTCAAGCCCAGAGGCCTCATTCTGCTTGCCAGCTGCCAACCTATTAGCACCCCACAGAAACCCTAACAGTGCTGCCACGGGCCGGCTGTTTGTTTGACTTTGTCATACTGAATTGAGACACGTAGACTTGGTGGACGGGAGGTGAGAATGGGCATTGACTCATTTTGAAGGGTGCACTTGTTAAATCTCTGGCCATCTTGGATGATGTTTAGACTGGGAAGGAGTTCCAAACTTTTGACTCTGGTCTTGGACGATCTGCTTGTGGGTGAGATCTGTATTGCTGAAATACTGAGAGGTCTGAAGCCAAGCTTTGCATTCTTTCTGGACCTCAGTGCTGACTCGCAAATTCATTTAATGGGGAGAGCTTGAATAAACATGGAAAAGGATAGAAGCATTTGGGCTGTAAGGACAATGAAACGTGCATGAACGCAAATCGAATTGTTGTCACAGAATGTGTGTTAAATGGAGATCCTGGAAGGCCATTGAGTCAGCTATAGTGGGATCCAGCCATGCAGATAGTTTTGGTTGTATTTGCATACATAAGTTTTGAGACTTTAATATGGTAAACCAATACAAAGGAGGTGAATGGAACTCCATTGAAGATCACTGAAACAATGTTCCAATTAATCTGGATAATCCACAATGGAACTACTTGCAGCCAAACAAACAGTCCCAATGGAAACTGAATGAGTTGATTGACCCTGCAACCACATTTTGTTAAAGAGTCTCTGATCCCAAACCGAAATTACACAAGGTCATCACAGGTTCATTCAGTCCCTAGAATCCAAAACCTAATCCAGGATCGGAGCTGGTCCAAGTGATATTCCATCAAATCAGCCAAATTCCTTTGCAATGTACGGCTCGACTCGACTTCACTCTCTTTTGGTACCAGGTAGTTTTCTTGATTTGATTTTCCACTGCAGTTAGTACCCCTCAAAGTAGGTGGGATTCTTAGATGAGCGTCAAAGCGACACTGCTTTAAACTGCCGTCATCTTTAGCGCAGGAACAATGGAGGATACTGAAGGGATAGTGGTCTTGATTCTCGGTAAGTGGCTGTTTGTCACAGCAAGGAGACAAATTTTGTGGCTGAGGCAGCAAGACAAAAGACAGCTGAGAGTCAAGACGACTCTGGTTGCTCGATTCTAGTGATGATTGTCTAGTGACGATTGTCCTCTTTTTGATCAGTGGCCTACAGTGTTTTTGCTCCACCATTTAGTATCGGCTCAGCTCGCTTGGAACCTCGACCAAAGTCATACCAAAGAAAGTACCAGGTACTATTCACAACTGATTGAAAAACTGGCAAAAAAGGGTTCCACGTGAGTGGAGTCGAGCCGTACCATGCAGTGGAAATGAGACACTGCTCTTTTCAACCACAGTTGTTCATTAATTGGTGGTGCATCAATGTGCTGTAACATTTTTCTAGTGTCATTTGTTAATGTTTTGAACACCACAAAGTATTTTCTTGGTGTAGAGGCAGAAATTTCAGGGGCCGTTCTTTAACCCCACACATAAAACCCAAACTATTTGTATGGCGAGATACCACAAGGGTTGAGTGATGAAATATGTTTTTTGTAATCTGGATTGGGCCTTTAAGCATTTTACGGTTACTAGCAGTGTTCAGTTGCTGAGTCTTTGTAAACTGCGCAGCCACTATGTTAAATTTTCCATCTTAATTAATGTCACACAGCTCAATCTTTGTCAGAAAGGCCAAACAGTGTTCCAGGCAGCTGCAAGTGTATGGTCTGGAGCCCCACACAGGAGGAATCTGTCTTGTAAACCGATATGGCTGCCCAGTCATGACCTCAGCCTCCAAGTATGAATTCTCAGTATGATCTGCTGGTTTAAAAGCCCGGCTTTGCAGGATAACTGAGACTAATTATCATGTGTCTCTGTGGAAAACAACAGAAGGCTCAGAGATGGCTGGATGAAAGGGATGCGCTCTTAAGGCGTCGGCATTATAGTGCCCATATGGCATTATGTCAGGTAACAGACGCACAGCTTAGGTTCTTAGATCATTGTCATTGTCTTGAACAGTTTTGCATTATATAAGTAAACTATCAAAGCATGGTTTGGCTGTGTTTCTACCTCACGAGACAGTGAAAGCACCAATGATTTTTTATGTGGAACTTACTCCTCATATTTCACTGTATGAACTCTGTGCATGAACTTCAATAAACCCAAACTCCCAAAGTGCCAAATAATGTTTTTCCCCTTTCAGCGGCAGATGATTTCTAGTCTATACTGCAACAGATGTATTCAAGCTGTTATCCAGCAGGCCTTTAGGAGCAATGGCCTTATGATCCAGATGATGTACACAGTGACTCACGTCATGCAGATGGCAGGTGGTCTTGTACAAAGCTCCTCTGGCATCCCCCTGGGGTTGGGAGGATGGATGGGGGGCCCGGTTCCCCAGGGTCTCAGCTGTGAATGGGTTAAAGTGATTATAGCTCCCACTCTGCTTTGTCCATTAGCTTTAAATACTTGTGGCTTGATGTGATGTAACTGGAGTTGTGAAGGGCCTTTGCATTTGTAGCTTACATGAGATCTAGATGTTGTATTGTATTTTAAGATGACGCTGATGAAACACCTTACTGAAGCAGTTGGCTGCGATTACACACATTTGCTTATGCAATAAAAAGAATGAGACCATTTAAAGACAACTACAGTGTTTCTGCTAAGCCCGTGGACTAAATATCAGAAAAGGGGTACTTTTTGAAAAGAAAAAAATCCTGCACCTCCAGTGTTACAGTAAAGCTGTCCCAACATGTCACAGTAGGAAGAGCACAGGTGTAAAATGGCTGAATTCCATTTAGTAGCTTCATTTCAGGGTCCTTGGTATTGTGCATGCTGGGTCACTGCCACAGCTTACTGAAACACTTGAATAGAACAGAGCCATTGCTGCAACAGCTGTGGACAGACTGCTTTTAAAAAAAAAAAAAAAAGCTTAGAAAGCACAAGCTTTTTTTTAACATTAGGGTAAAGAGATGTTCCAAAAGTCTGATAATGGCAGATAAGTTCATCACCTTAAGTAGCAATAGCAGTAACTACATAGTGTCCTAAACAGCATTTCTATGTAATATGTGAGTACAGTCATTAGATATAAGTATGACATTTAGGAACTAAAGCTGAAATTCAACATGGAATACTACTGGATGCAGCATAAAACCCTTAATGCTTAGCTAAAGCTCAGTGACCTGGAGAAACTACAGTAGGGTATAAAATGCTTAAGTGTAGCTCTGAAGAAACTTTGACCCCAAACCTTGAAGTCTTTGCCCCATTTGTCAGCAGATCTACAACTGTAAGCACAGAAGCAATTGAAAACCTATCTTAGAGCAGCCTCTAGAGGTGATGGAGAGTAATGACAAGGGACATTTCTGGTCTGAACCATTTAATAGACACTTTAAGAACAAGACATTTAAGAATGTAAAAACTGTTTAAAAGTAGCTGTACACACATTCACACCAGGAAATCATTAAAAAAAACACCTGTTACCTGGACCCTTTACATTGCTCACCATTTTAAAGCACACAGCAAGCTTGCAAGACTTGCATGCTTGTAGGGACATGTTTGTGATTTGATAAAATTGTACTGCGGCAACATTCAAATATTGTGTTCAATGATACTCTACAGTCAATTTCAGTTGGCTAATTAGTGCATTAATGACAATGTAAGCAGTGAAAATGGTGAATTCGATTGCATTACAGTAGTTATAGCTGACTGAATCTTGTGGGGTCAAGAAAAGCAGAGCAACCAGCAAGAAGCCTACAGCGGAAAAATCAGGCAAACTGTAAGGTGAGAATCTGCTTCATCCTCACTTGTCAGGATGGAGAGGATAATCCTGTACTTGACCCCAGTGGGTTTCTACTGACCTGCTGCTTGCTTTATGCCTTTCCTACTGAGATCCACCAACATGGCAACTTTCACCATGTTGAACACAAAGATAATCTGTTATACCAAATTTAGTTGCCCTCATTTTGGAATCTGGATCAGTGCCACTGCAGTGTCCACTACCATTTTTTCTACAAGTTTCACATGCTACAAGTTTCTGAAAACTTGTAGCATGCTTTGGAAATGGTCAGTAAGTGTATAAAATTTCAGTTGGTTAAACATGCAAACCACCAACATGGTCCTTGCGTGCTGATCCTTCAGTCACGTTAAAAGTTTTAAGTTACAACTGTACAAATCAGCACATGGTGCTATAACATTTAGTCCTCACTGGGTGACTTGCTTTGCAAGATCCTTCACCACTGAAGACTTGAGCTGTGGGATAGAGGCAATCCTCAGCTGCTTTGAAGTAGAGTACTTGCCTTTAATGGCCTGCAAGAAACAAAGACGAGTTAGATGTGTATAATAAAGTACCACACACACACTTTATGGTCAGCGTTCAAATAAAGGCTCTGCAATTACATGCCTTGGAGTTTAAGCCAATAATGCTGCTGTCTGAAGTCCAGAGAAATCACAGGCAGGTAATGCAAGTAGAGCTACACCTACCGTGTGTTTGGTCAGCCCCTCGTTCACTTTCATAACATTCTTGGCAATGTGTGCCATCACAGGAATCAAACTCTCTGCTGTGTAGTCCATGTAGTGCTGCAGTGTCACATCCTGAGGAGAGAACAGATCAGCATGTACCAGTCAAATAGATAAACCTTCCATTTGATCAATAATGCCTCTTTGCCATGGAGGCCAACATTATTAAAGACAAATTGACTTTTATTTAATAGTTGTACATTTCTATGCAGCCTAAAAGCTATAGTAGTCCGATTAAGTAGGACTCTATAATGAAGCCACTGATGACCACAAGTCAAACTCACCCATTCACCAGCATCTAAGATCTTGAGGGTAAGAGCCAGAGCAGCACTTGCCACCATGGAAGGTGGGAAGTGAACCATCTCATAGTCAACCATGGTGAGCTCCAGGAGGTATTTTGCCAAGGTGTGTTGCTCAGCAGTCACCTGAGAGACCAGTGAGGAATAGACATTAGTGATTTCATGCCATCAAAAAGCAGTCACTGAACCTAGTCTCAGGTGGATGATGTTGCTACAAACCTCGTAAATCTTTGAGGCCCTTCTGAGGAACTGCAGGGGAAGAGGGCGGCCTAGTTGGAACTTGAGCACCCGGAGGATCGTCATCTCCATGTCTCTGATCTGGGCGGTGGTGTAGGCCCTGTCTGTCACATAGGCAAAGTCCGAGATCTCAGGGGGATACATCTCTTCATATTTGGAAGCAAGGAACATGGCAGTCACACCGACGAGCTGCAGCTGCTTCTTGGGGACTGGGTGGTCCTGATGGGGGTGGAATCACATCAAGACTTTACAATCCAGTTGTATGCATCAGTAGAAGGCTGGGATGTTTAGCCATGTAATGCAGCATTCAAAGCAGATAAGTGATGGGCTCCGAGTTGATAGTCACCCACCTGAAGAAAGCGGTCAATAATTCCCACGGTCATGTACATTGTTTCCTGGAGCAAACGGAACTTCAGGTTCACTTGTACAAGCCAGTCAACGAGAATGGCCCTCATGTTACCAGTCACCTCCTGCCCCTGCAGATAAGTGGGTTTGACATTCTGCTCAACCTGAGGAGACACAAAACTGGGTTAAAACCTGAGTGGGAGGGGTACCAGATACATAGCTGTGGGAAAGCTTATAAAAAAAAAAAAAAAAAAGTATTTGCCTCAAGCTGTCGGAGGTACTTGTAGATGTCTTTGACATATTCACTGCAGAGCATGGGGTTCTCGTAGTCATCTGCATCCACATCTCTGATAGCATTGTGAAGAATGACATCTGAAAATGCTTGACAGAGGTCAGCAGGCTCACAGCCTGAAGTCTCCATTGGAGTGGGGGATGCTGGTTCAGGAAGAACCTTGAATGGTAGAAACGCACAGCGAGTTTAAACCGACAGAAGCGTCACACCCAGGAGTCATGTGTTTTAATGGTCGATAGCTGTTGGCATACAACTCACCTGCACCTCGGGCTCAGGTTTAACAGGAACAACATTTGGTTTTGGCTTCTCAACGACTGCTTTTTCAACTTTGGTGGCGGTGACTTTGGGCTTCTTTGTGGCCTCTGTCTTCACAGTCTAAAAAAAAATGGGTTAAGTCAGGGCTGAAATAATGCATTTGTAGTTTAAAGTCATTTATGGAGAGACCGAGTAGTCTCTGGTTCTATGTGAAGCAGTATCTGTTATCTATAGTTAATCATTTGATGGTGAGACAAAAGCAGCAGTTATATAAACACTACCAGAGCATTTAACCCTTCAGAGGACAACAGTTGATGCACCCCTAGTTACTCAACACAAGCACGTGCATGAAGGACATTTAGTTTCACATTCAGACATTTGTTAACATCACTTTATTCTGCTACATTTTAGGCCTTGACTGGGTACAGCTGCTTGTCGTTTTACATGAAGTTTTGCAACAAAAAAGCCAACATGAGGTCTGCGAAGATTATGTATTAGTCAGCCGTCAATGCATGTAAAAAAATGTTTTAATTAAATGCATAGCTAGGGCGTTTGCATTGTAGCACCATGAGGATCAATAACAGGACTTTACATTTCATATTACATAGGGCAAATTCAAGAGGCACATTACCTTTTTCTGCGGATCTTTGTTAATTGCGATGTTTCCGATTTCACCAAGCGCTGCTCGAGGCTTTAGTGAAGGTCCGGTCACCGAGCAGGCCTTTCCACCGAGGTCAGTCCTGGTAGAAGCCAAGCGGTTCTGTAGAAAGATATAACCATTTAGCGTGATAAGTTAAGTTGCATTTAATAGTTTAAAGTTAGTTGCTGAGACTTTAGCTAGTTTTTAATTTCTATTATGGAACGGTGGCACGAGAGCGGACTCCACAGCGACGCACGAGAGCTTTTAACACGGGCATTTCAAAAACATTTAAATATTCAAAAACTAAACATTTGTTCCTCACGCATTTCCAGCCATAAGTTACAACATAAGGAATACAAAAGGTAAAGGCGCTTACTCTGGTTACTCGAAGAGCCATTTCGAAATGTGCGTTGCTTCAACAAACCGACGGAGAGACGTAATGAGAGTGACGAGCTGCAGTTTCTAGGTTCAGCGTCTTGGTTTAAATCCTCACACGCTGCACGCTGATTCGCTGCGCCCTGAATTCTCCGCAGCATCTGATTGGTCGAGCTCAGCTGTTTCAAATGCGTTCCCCTGACAACCAGTGGTGGATTTTTTTTTTCTTTGTGTGTGCGTTCACTTCCTTTTCCGCTCATGTGCTGTTTGGCATTTAATATAGTCGGGGAGTCAAAGCCTCAAAAGCTCAATAAAATGGGTTGAACCTGACATGGTCTGCCATACTTTTTATTTGTGTTTTTTTCTGTTAACTTTGACCCTAAGAACCAATAATTTGAGGGTCTGCTCTGCCGGGAACATTGCGGAAAAAAATTGTGTCCATTTTAGAGTATGTTCCCTTCATTTCTTATCAGAAAAATGTGAAAAATTATTTTTTTGCCTCAAATCCTCAGTGGGTTGGGTAAGCTGTCAATAAATGCATTCCAGATGCACAGAACACATGTGGTGACAACATCCAATGAAAAAATAACTCTTAAAACACATTTCTACATGATTTTGGCCCAATTGAATGCATAACAAATAGGCGTGTTCTTACTTTTTTTCAATATTTTCATCTTTACTTCATTGGCAAACAACTATTCCTCCAAGTTATGATATCAGTTAATATGCCATTCTTTTCACCAAACAGTATACTCATTCCACAGAAAAAAATATAAAAATCCAACAAAATCAATGGATCTGTGATGATTTCGCTACTAGTTGGCGATCAACAGGCTCAGAACCTCAATATAATTATAGGCTACTCTCAAATTTCTGAAAGATACTGGATATTTAACATGGTTGTTAATGTCCACATTATTAAATATCATGGCCTAGGCATCTTTTTAATTTCAACATAACCCTGTTCTCCCAATGGAAATGTGTCACACAAGAAACATAATACAAATTTTTTAACATAATGCGTTTTGCTGTATTATGTTTATTGTGTGACACATTTCCATGTGAGAAAATGCCTTTTTGCATTCAATTGGGCCAAAATCACGTAGACGTGTATTTTAAGAGTTATTTTTTCATTGGATGTTGTCACCACATGTGTTCTGTGCATCTGGAATGCATTTATTGACAGCTTACCCAACCCACTGAGGATTTGAGGCAAAAAAAACATTTTTCACATGTTTCTGATAAAAAATGGAGGGTACATACACTAAAATGGCCACAATTTTTTTTCGCAATGTTTCCGGCAGAGCAGACCCTCCAATTATTGGTTCTTAGGGTCAAAGTTAACAGAAAAAACACAAATAAAAAGTATGGCAGAGACTTTGGCTCCCCGACTATACGCTTACATAGTTTTTAAATGTATTCTTTCCATACACAAACAAATTAATGACCACGTGTCGTGCACGGTACATGCTCAGAAAGTGAACAATAAAAGGAGAAAATGTGGAGAGCATGTGCCTACTCTTGTGCTGACAGTGTTTATTCTTTTAGTTTATTCTATAAAAAACAAAACAACAATAACAAATTGGTGAGCTCATGTGCCTTATGTGAATTATGGTGAGCTGTATTAACCCAACTCAGCTTTGGGTTAATATTGAACATTATATGGGACTATATGTTGTTAGCAATTTTGAAGTACAACTAAAAGGAACAGATGAGAGCTTGACAACCCAATGAATATATACAAAGTGTCTTTCTGTCTTCCCTTAGCTACTACAGAATGACAGTGTAAGGCACACATTACCCACAGACCTTAAAATGAATGTGAGCATTTTAATCTCGGCTAAACACAACTTTTAAAGGATCAGCCACGTAATCAGTTTTATTGTATCGCTGTTTGTGGTTTGTATTCATTTTCTTGATGATTTTGTGTATTACTATAAAGGACCATCTAGACATTGGCATTGCAAACTAGCCAAATGCTGCGGTATGTGGCATAGTTGATCCATTCTATTGTGTGTCAGAATCAGAATCACTTTTATTGGCCAGGTATGTGTGCATGTACAAGGAATTTGAATCCGGTTTTATAAATATCTATAAACAAACATTTGTAGACAGTAGACAATAGTGCAATGGTGCAAAGTGCAAAGGATGCCGAAATAAATATGTTACGTGCAGGTATCTTTATGTACATGGGGTAGGTGGATAGGACAGTATATACAGTAGCTATGCACAGAAACTGAATGGCTTCATTAAGAGTCCTAGGGTTATTGTACAGGGCAGTTAGGTGTTGGTCAGAGTGATGGCCTGTGGGTAGATACTGTTCCTGTGTCTCTTTGTTTTGGCGTACAGGTTGTGTCCAGGCTGAGATTAATCTGCAGTGATGTTACCTGTCCGTTTCCTGACTCTGGACAGGTAAAGGTCCTGAATGGAAGGCAGGTTGGCTGTAGTCTGTTCCTGTCCTGTTTAGTGGCCGATCCAAACCAGACATTGATGGATGAACAGAGAACAGACTGAATGATGGTGGTTCCTGAGGCAGGTTGAGCTTCCTGAGCTGACGCAGGAAGTACAACCTCTGCTGAGCCCTCTTGATGATGGTATCAGTGTTGGACTCCCACTTAAGGTCCTGGGAGATTGTGGATCCCAAAAACCTGAAGGTTTCCACAGCAGACACAGGGCTGTTGAGTATGGTGATGGGGGGCAGAGTTGACGGGCTCCTCCTAAAGTCCACTGTCATCTCCACAGTTTTCAGGGTGTTAATCTCCAGGTTGTTCTGATCCCACCAGAGGGCCAGCTGTTCAACCTCCCGTCTGTATGCAGACTCATCACTGTCCCGGATGAAGCCGATCACTGTTGTGTCGTCTGCAAACTTCAGGATTTTGACAGACTGGTCTCTTGTGTCCTTATACTTATATCTTTATCATATAGTTAGTATGTGAAAATAAACAGACGGAAATTAACAAGTGAAATTAATTTTAAAACTGAATATAGATGGGCTACTCAATATTAAATGACCAGATAATGGATACGGATCAGCTATTTTTATCTTAGCCCTGTGACAAGAAATACTTCCAACAGAGGCTCTCGGGCCCTTGGACCTGTGCCCTGTGCTTAGGCCTGTTCGGTAATCCCTCCTAGGTATGATCCCAGACTCTGAGAACTGTTAATTTCATTGAGCTGTCCTTGGGAAGGTACACAAGACCAAGAACAAGGTTGACAGAGTGAACTAGCAATCAAAGCTGAACAGTAGACGTACAGAAATCATAGGGAAGCTAAAGCTTCCGAGGAGCATTTGAAGGCAACATATCTTCTCAAACTTGTTTTCTTGTGTCGACAGACCTACAGACAGACAGACAGACACTCAGTCTGCGCCTACCCTTCCTGATTACATGAACATTGATTTTTAACTAAGCAACAACGGAGTCGGAGCTATTGTCTGTCTACTTGGAGAAAGTAACAGGTTTAATGCTCTGTAATAGCCCGTAATCTTCTGTGGCTACACTCCAACATGCCTGTCTTCCAATCAGAGGGTCACAATTTCCGTGACGTCCACCGGAAAAAGAGAGGACGTAAACGCATCACGTAAAGCAAAACAGATGTCACCACAAATCAGCGACAGAGGACGTCAACGAAATTGGCCGAAGGTAGTGCCAGGCGGAGTGGAGTCTATTTGCGTGAGGAGACAGAAAAGAAAGGCACAAACAACAACGACGTACCTAGACGGCCCTAGTTAGTTAGCTCCGAGAGAAACCTAGTTATTCCATCAACGCGAAAAGTTTGGCGAAAACATCGTTTCTCAGAGACACAAGGTGAGTCAACCAGCTAACTTAGTTAAACCCTAGCCAGCTAGCACAAGTGATTGTTTGGGAAGTGTCTCAAGTGAACAGCGAAACACCAACATAAACCACCTTAAAGTCACACTTTAAGCTGAAAGCGATGAGCCTCGACCTCGACGTTAATGTAAAATGGGCTTACTGAGCTAATGTTAATGTTAATGTTAATGTCCGGGGGATTAAAGACCTCTTCCCTCTGGTTAGCACGTGTCCCTGAAAACTTTCCTTCTCACACTTCGAGGTTGTAAATGAAACATGTTGTATCAGACACCAAATACAGACTGTAATGTTTGTTTCTCTCCACGAACTAAGAGACGATCTGTATTTACCTCGGCTAACGTTAAGCTGCTAGTTGCCCCAGCAGCTGTAGACTGAATGAAACAACATTATCTGGTTGACTGTCGATGTTTTTACGATCATTGGATGTGTCTGTCGAACCGTTTTCATTAACACAGTTTCGTGTGCTAATACTCGCAGAAGTAGTTTATTCTAAGGTAATGTTAAGATACACAGTTGGTCTGTTGTCGGGACAAAAACAAAGAGCAGACAAAGCAAAGGCAACAAGACTGCTAACACTTTTCTGATTTAGCTAACCTCTAGCATGCTAACGTTAGCAAGATCACGAGAATCTGCTCACACAGTTGTTGTGGCTAACTCTCGTTAGCATACGAGCAATCGGACTAAACGATATAACAGTGAGGTGCTCTCTGTCTGCGTGTCTTTTAGCTAAGGGCTTTAATAACTAAACTGGAAGAGGTGATTATGTTAATGCTACCGGGTGCCATGTAGCATAGCTCTTCAGAGTAAGACGTTAGCAGCAGCCGTTAGCTTGCTAGCATGACTCAGTGGATTTGTAGAAGTGACAGTGCTGTGGCCCGGTGTTTGTCAGGAAGCTACCGAGACCTGCAGCCCAGATAAACGATACTGATTGCTTAAACCACCTCCACTAAGCACACACAACCATATATGTGGTGATTGAGCTGAGGGGGATGAGCTGTGTTGAAGTTTGATGTTAGCATGCTTCGAGTAGCACTAATACGTGTTGGGGTCAGTGAGTGAGTTGGGCTTTTGTCTCAGAGATAATCTTGCGATCTACAGGTGTTTTGTTGAATTTTGTACCCATGTCAGAATATGCCCCCCCCCTGTCCATTACCACACGACCCAAGACGGGGGGTGATTTAGCAGCCCCCCTGTCTTCATACTGTGTTTACTCCCTTGGGTTGGATGATGGTATCTTTGGTGAGGAAACCTGCTCTGACAAGGATACAAATTCTGGCATGATACCAGCTCTGTTTGCACGACGGTCGAGGTTGTCTATAAATACATGTGTTAACAGCCTTACAGTATTGAGGAAACTCGTGTGTGTGTGTGTGTGTGTGTGTGTGTGTGTGTGTGTGTGTGTGTGTGTGCCTTTGAGATCACAGTGTCACATTGCACTCCTGTGACAGAGGAGAGCCACCATACACAGGTCCATGTGAGCGTTGAGCTGCGTGGAGTACCGCAGTCTGCAGGCGCACACACGTGAAGGTGCAGCTTTGGGGAGAGGAGGAAGCCTCGGATGCAGTTTACCAGAACCTGAATGTGGCAATGTCTTTGGTCCCCCCTATGTTTTATCAAGGATTATGAACAGCCCCCCCCCCGAAGATATCCTCACAACTTTCTGTAATGCCAGTGCAAGTTTGTGTTTACTTGATTAACTTTAGCATTAAAGAGGGACTCATACACACTCTGTTCCAACTTCGAGATCGTACTAATTATGTCAATATTAGCTAAATATACTGGTTTTTAGACCTACATGCCTATTTGTGATAAAATAGGTATGAAACCTTATTAAACTACAGAAGCCAAAGCTATCAAATGTTGTCTAAATATCAGCAGCCAAACAACATTTTTGCCCAAATAACATATTCTAAAATTTCAAGGTCCACCTACTATCTTTTCCTGACTTGAGGTCAAGGAAGGTCAAACTAAATTCTAAACCATCTCTGAACCAAGATAGGTCCTGTCCCCACCCCCCACAGTTATCTTGTGCCTGGCAGTTCACACGCCAGTCATGTGATGACACCTGAGCCATATCATTTGCCGATGAAAGCTGTGAGGTGTGAGTTAAAGCTCTAAAATATCCAATAAGTTGATCGTTTTGTCTCACATACTGCAAGTCAAAGGTTTAACTTCTGTAAATTCTGTACGGGAGGATTGTCTCAGTGCCAGCTTTCTGTATAATTTCTATAATCCGTGCGACACAATTCACTCAGTATCCAAAAAACAGTATTGAGGTTCAATACCCAGCTCCTACATGTCAGGAATAACTGAGTGAAGAAAAGAAAGGGGCTTCTGTCAGTGGTGATCAGGGATTGCCTGTTCTTTTTCAGTGTTGTTTAATGACTTTGTGCAAATTAGAATATACTGTTGTGTTAATTTCATTAAGTAGATCAGCAGCGAAACAAGCCAAAGTCAGGTGTGAGCATGTGTTAATGACTGATAGTAGAGCGACAATGATTACTCAATTAATCCTGTATTCAGCAATTATTGTTATGTCAGTCATCATGTTTATAATTGATTAATCACTCAAGTAATTTTCCATGCAAAACTGGACAGTACTATTTTTTACCTCTGAAATACAGAGATTTCCTGCTTTTCTCTGTTTTATATCATATTAAACTGAACATATTTGGCTTTTGGACTAGCAAGACAAGACATCACAGTGGACTTTGAGAGGCATTTTGTAGACCAAACGATTAATCTAAAATATCATCATCAGAGTAATAGATAATAAAAGTAATGTTAGTTGCAGCCCCAGTTCATGGTGATGATGAGCTTTCACTAAACGTATTAATAATTTCTACCGGGTGATGCATAGTGTGGTGTGAGTGTGTTCGGTGGAGTTGACCCAGAGCTGTGAATTACATGTTAATTTGATTGCTTCAGTCAAACACAAATATTTCCTGACTGGAGATGGTATGACTGTTACCTGTATGAGTTTAGTTGAATCATGATATCACCGATACATTTCCTTTGATATCTATTTTTAGTTTTTAATGCAGGGATGTTTCAACTAGAACAGCCAGTAAAAGTTCAAACTAGATTCAGTGAATGTTTAGTATTTTTGCTTAATAAATAACAATTTATTTGTTTCAAAAAAAAATTTCCAAACCAATAAATTGACTAATTCTTTCAGCACTTATGATATCTCTTTGTAGACCAGGGTCTCGAGTGTTACAGATGATAGATAATCACACCAGCTACCCAAACAGATTCTGAACATACTGAAACTTTCTTTATTCTTGCCATTTACTTGTTCAGTGTCGGCCTGCAAAATTAATTGAAATATTATAAATATCACAATATGGCCAAGTTCAGTATCCAAATAGCAGAAGCTGCCATTTTTTTCAAAACATTATAATGAAGTACTGTAGTGCTGCAGAGATGCCCTGGCCTACAAATGTTGTTCTCCTGATGCTACAGACGCCAGCAAATGTCACATTGTCATGATTTTAGGTTTTTTAGTGAAAATGAACAAACAGTAAATCATAATCGTAATATGTCTCAAAATAATCGCAATGTGATGGCAAAATAATCGTTATGTGATTCAAGACAACTAAGCTGCATGATCTTGCAGCTTCAGTTTAGTTGTCTTGGTTTGTCTTTCTGCGTTGAGTGTCTTCAGCGCAAAATAATTCTGGACTCTGTTCATCTGTTGTCTATTTATAAACAAATCACATTTGTTTCTGTATGCTTGTTGCACCCACACAAACACTCCAGCGTGTCTTTGTTTATGTCTCCAGGTCAGCTTACCAGGCGGCAGACATCGCTATGGCGCAGGAGACCAATCAGAGCCCAGTTCCTATGCTCTGTCCCACCGGCTGTGGTTTCTATGGCAACCCTAGGACTAATGGCATGTGCTCTGTGTGCCACAAGGAGCACCTGTCAAGACAGAACAATGGTGGAGTCAGTTCTCTGAGTGCTGTGGGTAAGACCGGCTGTGTCCGTCACAGTTTTCTGTTTTTTTTCCATGTGCGCATAGGACAAAGTTACAAACTCCAAATCTCTGTGTCTGACTGTAACATTTGGTGAAATTTTCCCACCTCAGGCAGCAGCAGTGGCTCTACAGCTGAGGCCTCTGCCATCCAGAGGTTAGAGGCCACGTTGAATAATGCTGCAGCGGCTGCAGTTGCTGCTGCAGAGGTGGCAGCTGAGGCCGCCGCCTCTGCTGAGGCTGCTGCCACAGAGGCTCTCAGGTGAGGGGGTCCACCAGGGTTTATTATACTGCCTTCAAACAAAGCTCACAAGGTTGGTTTGAAATGGGAAGTACGGAGTAGGTTTTAACTGCGAGTACACAGTTGCTAGGCTTTAGCAACTTCCATGCTCTCTGACAAACAAATGTCATAAGTTGTGATAGAAAATTAATGTGGACTCTTCTCTTAAACACAACTCCACTTAAAGGCACCACCATAAATCTGAAACAATCTTTATAAGTATGTTATGAGTCTGTTCAGCAGATAGACAGTTGGGTATCTGGAAAATATGGTGACTTTTACCTGATATATTAAGTTTGTTACTATATAATAATTTTGTCCCATTTGTCCTTTGCAGTGGAGTTTCAACAGCCATTTCTGTAACACAACAGATGACTGAGATGAGTCTTTCCTGTGAGGAGAAAGGAGCATCAGGAAGCAAAGTAGAGTTTACAGAGCCAGGTGGGTTATTTATCACTTAGGATATATATTGAATTACACCAACAATTACCAGTACAAACATACCAGATTATTGAGTACAGCATGATGCAAGCCAATTCAGCAGCCCTGCCAGACCTAACATTGTGACAAACTTATAGTCAAACAGACATTTCTATTTGGTTTTTTAAGTTATAAACCCTAAAAATATTCTGTAACACAGGTTATATTAATAATGCAATATAACATTGCCTAAATGTTCCTAAATGCAATATTTTCTCCCCCCCTACATTGACATACACAAGGGAGTGTTAGTAAGAGAGCTACTTTACTAAGTTAGTTGTTTTTCTTGTGTGTCTCCAGTGTTGAGCCAACCCACGTTCTCAGCCTCCCATCCCTCCACTGCTGGCAGTGAAGAGTTCAAAGCCCCGGAGCCCCCAAAACCCAAGAAGAATCGCTGCTTTATGTGCCGCAAAAAGGTCGGCCTTACAGGTAAGAAATGACACCGTTAACCGATTTACTGTCATTAGAAAATCTTACCACCAGTTAAAGGCGTGTTCTTCTGGGTTGTTTTTTCAAACTGTAACTTCTTTTAAGTATGGTCCTTTAGTAATTTCCAAGATGGGAGTTATTATTGTTGTTAGGTGTTCAAAATTGACAAAAAAAAACACTGGTATCCACCACAGTCTTGCAGAAAATGTAAAAATGAAGCATTTTGCTTGAGGCAAAGGAGCCAAATAGGAGAAAGACAGAAAAAGAAATGTAAATATTGGGCCAGAAGCTAAATATCCTTTTTGTGGAACCATAAACACATTTTTACGTTCTTGAATAAAGACCCTACAAAGGGCTTCAGTTAAGTGTTGATATATCCCTCTACAAATCACAACAGGCTATGTAAGAAGGAGCAGTCTATCTATCTATCTATCTATCTATCTATCTATCTATCTATCTATCTATCTATCTATCTATCTATCTCTCTATCTCTATCTCTATCTCTATCTCTATCTCTCTCTCTCTCTCTCTCTCTCTCTCTCTCTCTCAAAAGATGCGTCTTAACGTACTTGTTCCAACCAGTGACTTTTAAGGTAAACACTGTGTCCCTGCAGTGTGCCAGGATGTGTACAGTTAGGCATGTTTTGCTGCTGTGAGCGCTGGTTATTGATTTGACTCGGTCTGCCTTCCGTTTCAGGTTTTGACTGCCGCTGTGGGAATCTGTTCTGTGGACTTCACCGTTACTCTGATAAGCATAACTGTCCATACGACTACAAAGCTGAAGCTGCTGACAAGATTCGCAAAGAGAACCCTGTGGTTGTTGCTGACAAGATCCAGAGAATATGAAGAGGACTCTCAGTTTGACTTTGAATACTTGGAGCGATCGGCTTAAAAAAAAAAAAAAAAAAAAGGACATGAGCCCAACCTTCTCCCTGAAGGACCTGTTTTTTCCCCCTTGTTTGTTACACGTTCAGGACTTTTCCCCCGCAGTGCATGAAAGTTCACGCATATTTTCAGCTTTCATTCTTGTTTATGTGTGAGTTTAACACTTTTGGAGGGTTGTATTGGACAAACAGTGTGTGTGTGAGGATGAGGGGTGGGTCCATAGGAGTGACTGAAGAAAAAATGATAGCCCTTTTAGAAAATGCTGTTGATGGCTGCCCAGTCTGTTTTGTGATTCCCCCTGAGGTCGCTTGAACGATGCCTGGAAAGAGCTTGGACACTTGGGCTCTGTTTGGACTCTCAGACTGTTACTGCTGTTGGCTGATGGCGCCACCTCAGCCGTGCTTGCTCTCTGCTGGCTTGAGTAGCAAAATGGATGTTGTCTCCCCCCCCCTGTTTTTGGTCAAAGTTTAACCCTCCTTTACATGTCAGATTTTGCGTCCTGGTAAGTTTTTATCAACCCAAAATGCTTCTCTGTGCCGCTGGAATCTCGTCCACTGTGGTCCCCCCCTTGACACACAGCTCCTGAGATGTATTGCAAAGAGACTTTGAAGAAGAGACTTTGTTGCTAGCCTTTTCTTGCTGGCTCGTATTCCTTCCCTCCTGCTGTGTGTGCGGCACTAGCAGTACAAAGTAGTTTGACAGTTTACTACTATTTCTCTCCTGTTGATCTCGGCTGAATGCTGCGACGCGCTCTGTGCCCGGGATCTGGATGGCAGGAACATGGACTTTAAAACCATCCACTGAAGTCACATTTTCTTAGTTTGTTTCCTTTTTTTTGTCATTTTCCAGAAAAGTGGTGTGTATGCTGTGTGTTGTTGTATGACAAGTAGCCTAAACTTGTATTAATTTTTGCCTTTGGAAGGGTTTAGCTCCACTAATATTTTCATCTTTTACTTCACTATTGAATGTGTTCCTCGATTTTTAATGTGAGCTGGCAAATTCACAGCGTTGGGAGCGTTGGACTGTTGCATACTGTGTATCAAACACAGGTGTGTGTGCGTGTGTTTTGTGGGAGTAGACTTGGACGGCTGGTGTGTGAGTATCGTATGAGGTTAAGTGGTTGTGTGCCGCGGTGACTTGTCGTAGGTTATTAATAATTTTCCGTTTTTGTTGAGTTTTGGTCTGGCTGCTTAATCTGTTTGTTTTGTTTTTTACCCTTTAGTTATGCAAGTTTGTACAACCATCTTTATTTATATACTGCAGTGCGCGTAATCATCCAATAATACAGAATGAATTGTATGATGTAAATAAATTATGTTCACAAATATAAAATCAAGAATTCACGGCCCTTCATTTAAATATGCCACTGTTGTCTGAAGTCTAAATGAAATGGCTAGCTTGTCTTTAATCCTCAGCTTTTAACTTCTTCTATGTGGATCTATTTTATTTAATATATGTATTCAGGAAATGTGAAGCGATCACTGCTCACCAAGCAGTTTTCTAACTTGTGGTTTTGTTGAATGTACTGAAAGAGGAGAAAACCTGCACACTAAAAGTGCTGATTTTTCATTTACTGTGTTTGCTAGCACTCTGATGAAAGTGTGATAGAATTGCAGTTTTTAATGACAGTGGTTCAGTGTTACAGGCTGCTGTCAGTTTCCATGTGACTCATGTCTCTGCAGGGGAAACGGGATCTGCTCTGCTGCAGTGAGCGTGGCCTCAGGGTCACGTTATGACACCCATTGCCCTCCCTCCATAAGGACTGTATGTTTTGAGACACACACACGTGCAGGTTGTACTCATTCATCAGCGTGAGCAGCACATGGTGTCATGAACACTTCTGTTCCTCAGTCAGCCCACCCCTCCCTCTCCTGAGGATTAGTGGAAATGGTTCCCCAAATAATCTTGTCTTTGCAGAAGTAAACACTGACCACAAAGCTTTTATCTTTCCTTTTACGAAACATTCTGCTCTAGTTCTGCTTTTTTCAAGCTTTTCTAATGCCCCAATATTGCTCTCCTCTTACTGCTCCCTTGGTGTTCCTGCTCTGATTTTCTTCAAATTGAGAGAGTAGAGAGATTTCAAGTTTCTCTTTTTTTGTTTAAACTCACATTGTCAACACAGTAGGTTATTGTATATTATAAAAGGACACACTTATTAAGCCAGATGTACTTCTATTAATGAAATATACAAAGGGCAACAAGTGTTTGTTAATTTTTATTAATTTACTTATTGGATCCCCATTATCTTCTGCTGTAGCTGTTTGGTTGCTAATCTTCCCGAGGTACTCGAAGTAAAATCATTTTATTCACAATCAACACAACATTAGCGGGCAGTAGTGTGTGTTAAGTCCTCCCTCTATAGAACGGATACATTTATGCGGGTTAATACACAGGCCTCAAATGTTCTAACTTTTTATATTATTTATAAACATCATTTAATTTAGTAGCTCAAAATGGAAATTCTCCAAAAGTACTAGTGCCCTTTATCTAGCTAAACAAAGCTTTCCACCTCTGCATGATAAGCATAACTGCCCACTGAGTGTTTATTTCAGTTTCACCACAGACTCAACTATATTCTGAAATTTTTTTATAACTCAGTCATATTGACCCTTGTTTCATACAATTTAAAATGTTCAGGTAATTCAGCGTTGGAACCTTTCACATCTCCTCTACACATCTGGTGCATTTTTATCAATGATAAACCATGGAGAGGAAAAAAGTTTTATATTTATATATATATATATATATATATATATTCTCGCAAAATAAATGTGACCCCTCAATATCTGTGCAAAAGCTCATTTATTTGGTAATATACACAGATATGTTACAGCAGTTGGGGGTTATGTCATTTTTTTGGTCAATCTTTCTTTTTAGTGGATTGCCACTAGGTGGCATGACAAACACATCCAACCTGATTGATCCTTTCATGTGCTTAGAACCATATAGAGCCGACAATTATAAAAAACACTTCACATAATGTCAATGTTGACATAAATTGTCACAGAATATATGAATTACTCCATTTGGACAGAATGTCAGAACCTTATATTTTAAGGTGGCAGTATGTAGCTACAGAACAAAAATCTAAACATGAATGTATTCTTAAACATTAAACAATTATTCAGTTGATGTAAAACATATGAAGACAAACACGGATAAAGGTTAACACCCTATACCAATGAAGACCACTCGAATGTCAATGTAAAAGGAACTTTAGATAAACCCATCATAGTCAGCACTGTTTGGACAATATGATTAATGCAGTCAGACAGCTCTTACATTCTAATATTAACATTTAGAGTTGTAAACGTGCACGCTTCTAAAATTAAAAATGACATTTATAATTATTTTTCACACACACACACACACACACACACACACACACACACACACACACACACACACACACACAGTTTGTTGACCTGTCACAGATGTGCAGTAATGTAGCAGCGTGTTTGCTAGAACAGATCCATTAACTTTTAATTCCTTATGCATCTTTCATGGTGATCATGCATGAAATATTGATTTAGGAACATCTGATGCTTATCTAGACATGCAGGTGTTTAGAAATTTGTGTCAAGACCACAAATGGGTCCAGAAGAGAAAATGCTGAATTTCAGCTGTTGGTTGGTATTTGTACTTTGTTTTTGCAGGCATTCAGAGAGACAAGACCTCAGGATATTTAGCATTTTATAGAAATAGTAATTTAAAAAAATCCAAATGCACAGATCAGTAATGAAAATTTATTAGTAGTAGGAGCTTTTTTCATCAGCTTAAACGTTGATAATATTTGTCAGTGTTATGTTTACAGTGTGTTGTATTTATGTGTACTCATACCCTCTCACAGGTTTCGCATTTCAGAAAATGTCTAGACTCCGCCCCCTTCAGAGAGGTGTGTGGGGACGATGTTTCTGAATCTATTCGACCATTGGACAAGAACTTCTGAAGCATATGGCCCCTTAATACATGTATAACTGCATACACCTACACACGTGTATATACATGTACATAGGCGTGTACCCATACATTTACCTTAAAAATATGTCTTCAGAAATGATAATCTTATAATAGCTTATATAATGGCCATTAATAATGAACATTTAGGCTGCTCTGTGTGGTGTCAGTTTTAATCTCACCAAAATCAAGATTCACAGCAGTGCTGGTGGATCTAAATACGGTAAATTAATTATACCATCAAAGACGTCATTAGCTCTAGAGCAACATCCAATATTATGCTCTCATATACACTTTATCACCATGGTGGGCTGGAGCAGACTTGTCACCACCTTAAGCACAGTCACCTGTACACCAGCACCAGTCTAGAGGGGTGTGATCCACAGCTCACATGTGGGAACTGACAACCGTGTAATGGAATCATTTTGGATGTGAAAAATGAGCTCTACTGTATTATTTAATGAGGCTGCGAAGTGTTTCTCTGTACGGTTTCCAGCTAGGCACACACAGGTAGCTGCTGTCGGTGTCTGCTGCAGGTCGGCTGACTCCCTACCTGCTGTATTTCTATTGAAAACAATAAAACATAAAAGATACTGCAGCTCCAAGGTCATCTTAGGGTATTTACTGTTTGCCCAATGAGCCTCGCATAGAGAAACCTAAACCTTCATTAAATCTTTAGGGCGTCTGGTCTTCTCGTGTATATGTGTGTGTGTGTGTGTGTGGGGTTTCCAGTAACAAGAGGAGTGAGAGTGTCTCTAGGCGCTTTAGATGATATGGTCCTTTGGCCATTTAGGAAAAACAAAGCAGCACACAAGTTAAATGGAGCTGCACTGAATGCTGTTTCACCTTTGAGAACCAATGTGGTGTGATGTGAACCTACGGCTGCACATCACCCCCTCTATGTAGAAACGATAAACCATGAATATCACAGCTCCCGGAGAATAACATAGCCTCTCTCTGCTTGATAAGCCACAGTGGATCACCTTTGGTTTGCAGAACTTACTGCACCTATCCAGGAGCACCTGTTGAGAGTGGGTCACATGCAGCAGTCGTCATAGTGACGGCTCAAGATACCTGAGTTGGGTGCTGGCTGGCGGGGAGCCTAGGCAGAGGAGAGCCAACCTGCTGGTGGGGGTAGACTGGGCGAACGCTGCAGAGGACAGACGCTTTTAATTTTCCATCATGCCGAGAAAACGAGAGTCTTCAGCAGATGATGGTGAGTTGAACATGAGAGGAGAGGAGGATTCATCATAATGTTGTCAGGTTGTCATGATATGTGATGCAGGCCAATTGATTTTTAAGATAAATTGTTTTCTTGTGTCAAAACAAATTTGTAGAACAATTTGTGTTGTAAAAAAACTTTGTATATGATCATATATTTTATTTCTATGACCATTTACTACTTATAGACAGAGTTACATGCTTACATCATGTAACTCTTGGCCATTTTCCAGAAGCAGGAACTTAATAAAGTTCAACATAGTGTGTAGCCATCACCCACTCTTGAGTTCCTGGAACAAAATTTGGGCACTGCTCAGGAGACAATACTAAATGCAAGTTTTCAGTGGGTTAGGGTATCTGTATCGACCAGGAAAGCCAATAATTCACCAACGCAGAGACTCTCAGACTGTGCTTCGGCACAGTTGTGTTTTAAAGTGTAACTAAACCTCTAATTTCTGCCAGCTCCCTCCCTGCCAGCAAATTTAAAAAATGCAGCAGAGAGAATCACTTAGGGTGTGATGCGGGAGGTAACAGCGACCAGAGTGACAGAGTGACTAACACTCAGATACATAGATACAATACAGCTGCCAGTAGTCAGAGCTTACAGAGCTAACCAGCCATGACAGCTGCTGTCAGACTCTCCATGTACGCGCAGGAAACACAGACTCAATTGGAGTTTTTACAGTCACTAGAAGCACATTCAAGGCTGTTTGTAAAAGATTCTGTGTGGTACTGGAGCTGTAACGGTAGCTAAGCTAGTGGCTCAGAGATAACCAGCCATGAGCACTCCAGGTCCACGCGAGAAACACAGAGTGAATTGGTCACTAGAAGCACATTCAGGGCCGTTTATAAAAGTTTCTGAGTGGTTCCCATGTTGTACCGTTGGTTTTATAGTAGCAGGGGTTGGTTGGTGACAATAGCTGCCACTGCATATGTATGTCACCTCCCTCCAGATCAGCCAATAGCAAAATTCATTTGCAAGAGCCGGGTTTTAACCAGTAAAGGGCAGTCGCAATGCATATAATTAGCAAAATACGTAGAGTTCAATTACTTTATACTAAAATGTTGAGATTTGGACCAGAATCAATCAACAGCACTAGTAAATATCCAAAAACACAGGGCTACAGCAGAAAACAGTGTTTTGGGGGTTTAATTACTCTTCAAAAGTGCCCTGTAACAAAAGTATTCTTGATCTCTAAACGTGTCAAATGCATTTTCTTCCACATAAAACATTTGCAAAGCCAATTTGTTATGTATTTTAACTCCAGCATTGTTAACATCCATGTTGTTTAGTTGAGGGACACCATTCAGAAGGCCAAACACTGGGGCCATAAAAACCATGACAGAAAATGACTATACAGTATATCAACGCCACTTCTTCTATTGCCCACCAGCCACTGACTTCACTCATGTATGAAGTAAATTTTAGACTCAATGATAATGAAATTACATTTAAAGTGGACATTTTTTGCACTGAATTTCACAATTGTAGAACAGAATTATAATTGTGTTCATTGTGGATATATGTGCTCGTTGATACTGTTTTTTTCTGTGTTCTTCCTCAGTTGAGATAGAGATAGATGGGGATATGAGTGACAGTGATGGTGAGTGGATAAAACAGATAAAATCTGTTCATGGAACAGATTTGAAAGAATTATACTCTAGAGTGTAGCCTAATAACCAGAAAACCAAATGCTGTACGTTGTGTGTTTTATGTGGTCGTAATGTAGACGGTGGCACCCAGAAGAGAACAAACAGGAGGCAGGCAGGTGGAAGAGGAGGTGCAAAGGGCAGAGGCCGGGGGAAAAAACCAGCCAGCGAGGATGAAGATGAGGATGATGACGAGGACGAACCTCCCAGGAGACGCAAGGGAGCGAATAACAAGAAGAAGCCCGCCAAGAAACGTGGCGGGGGTGATGATGATGAGGATGAGAGTGAGGACGAGGCTCCCAAGAAGAAGCGAGGAGGAGCAGCCAATAAGAAGAAAGGAGGCAAAGCCCAGGACAGTGATGAGGAGGACAGTGATGCAGACAAAGGAAAGAAGGGGAAGAAGGGAGGAAAGAAAGGAGGGAAGGAGGAGGAGGACAGTAAGGGTAAGAAGGGGGACAAAGGGAAGGACAAGGGGAAGGACAAGGGGAAAGACAAGGACAATGACAAGGACAAGAAGAAGAAGAAAAAGAAAGACGACAGGTAGGTTAGAGGAAGTACATCTACCTATAAGGAGACAGATACCCCACCTTACTGTCAAATTACAATACAATAAAATGGTCCTGTGATCTACTACTGAGCCATATTGGCTACTTAAAAATCAATCAATACAGAACATACAAGGTACAACGTAATCCTTATGGGCAATTGCGCACCATCAATGTACTAAAAGTACTTGTTTTTGCCACTGACATGCTCAGATTCATATCATAAGTGTCTGACAACATTACTGAAAGGATCGCTACAGAGATAGACCTTTTAGTGGAAGATTAAGATCCATTCTGTTAACCAGAAACAACAGTTATATCACTCTGTTCAAAACCACCAGACTCCACTGACAAAAGCAGTCATTTTACCTTGCAGATTATCGAATATTGTAACACTTCATTCAAACTAAAATAAAAACGTCTTTCCACTGTTCCAACAAACGCCTCCTTAAAAATACCAAAGTTACCCTCTAATGCAAAGGCTAGGCAGCTACCAAAATCATTAGGAGTCATCCTCTGGGTAACATGAACATCCTTCAGTTTCATTCTGTATTCAAAGTTATCCCTTCAACAAACTCACTCCCTCCATTCACCATTCCCCATCTGCCTTTTCTGCTCCAGTTCCTCTGATTCCAACTCCAACTCTGACGAGGAGGAGGAATCCATGTCAGAGGGAGAGATGGCCCGGCTGATGGAGGAGGTGGAGGAGAAGAAGAAACTGATCGCTAACATCAGGAACAAGCCTTGGAGGATGAAGCGGAGGCTCGTGCACCTGAAGTAATCTCTTACACCTGTCCTGGTTTCCATCTGGAGATAAAAGTTCTTCTCTTCAACCCAGAACCATAAAGCTATATTTCAAGCCTTGATATAAATAAATCACATCCAGTTTTTACCCAGTTTGGTTTGGGTGGATCATTTGTGAAAATATAAATTCCACTTGGTAAACTGGGTATTTTATGTCTTCACGTTGTGAAAATGTTCAATGATCACTTCTGCTTTGAATTTAAATTTTTTTTTAATTCGACAGAACTTTTCATCTGAAACTAGAAATGCGCACTTGCAACACAAAACTCACTCATCTCACTCAAGATTTCACATGTAGTCAATATTTGTCTTTGTTAAACAGTTTTATGTTTTCTTATTGGGACTGTAGACATGAATCAGTGTGGAAAAACATAAATCCAGCTCATTTCAATATTCTAATGGGCATTTATATCACATGTGCCCTTGTTTCCTAACAGGGAGGCTCAACAGTTTGTGGATAAGTTTGAAGGAGCTTTGGGCAAAGGAAAAGGCAGGAAGTGGTACGCCTACAAAGTGATGATGACGAAGGTCAGGCACAAATTCAGACTTCCCATCTTTGCCTTTCGCTTGTGTGAGTGTGTCTGTGTGTTTTCCTTCCATAATTTTCAATCTTTTTATCTTCTTCCCAGAAATGGATCAAGTTCCAGAGGGATTTTGAGAACTTCAGAACAGCCTGCATCCCCTGGGAGAGGAAGATCAAAGAAGTGGAAAGTAAGATTTGTTTACGGCACAGCCATAGTGTTTACCAGCTGAACAACACCTCCTAGTGGACAGACGCTAAGTTTAAAAATCTCCTTGATGTCCTCAGGTCACTTTGGGTCATCTGTGGCGTCTTACTTTATCTTCCTGCGCTGGATGTACGGCATGAACCTGGTTCTTTTTGGGTTTACGTTTGGACTGGTGGTCCTCCCCGAGGTAAATAATGTGGTCCTTTTTCTATAATAAAGTCTATTCATGATGCCATTTTCAAAGCAAAGCATTAAACATAAAGTCAAACAGACATTATTTTGTTGGTTTATGTAAATCAAAATGAAAACTGACAAAAATTCAGTAAATGGATACATCAAGAATAATCATCAAGAAAAATCAGTTAAGTGTAATTAAATAAAATATTAACTAATTGAATTCTTTTTAATTTTCCAGGTTCTGATGGGTCTTCCCTATGGATCTATTCCCAGGAAGACTGTCCCCAGAGCAGAGCAGGACACGGCTCAGGACTACTCTGTCCTCATGGACTTCAACGTTAGTCTGATATATGATATAAGATTTTTAATGTGTCATATAAATATAGCCAACCCTCAGTGGTTTCAGTTCATACATTTTCAAATTAAACTACAAAAAGTCCAAAATAAAGAAAATTAGTTCACATAACTTATACAATCATACACATGTGTAAAGAGAAAATTTGAGAAATGTATCAAAAACAAGAGAAATCGAAGTAATTAAATATAATTAAATTGTTACATTTTAAATGCTTAAAATTAAAACAACTATTCACTTTTTTTTAAAGATTTTTTTTAAGAGACTTTGTGGCCAAAAACTGGACTCTTATTTCACTTTTTTCCAAATCGCAGAGCTGACACAACCTGATTTCCTCCTGATTATTTCTGTCAGCCAGAGGGAGCATCTCACTTCTTAACTGTGTAACTGAAGGTCTTTGGCTTCTTCATAAGTGAGATGTAACATACTGTAAGATCAAATCAAATCCCCACTTTTTCTTTTAATTTGACCTTTATTTAACTAGAACATTCTCTGAGATCCAAACCTATCTTTCGACAGCTAGAATGGCAGCACAACTATGTCACACACATGACCACAGACACTAGAGGAAAAAAAAGAACCTCTTCTTTGCTTCTTCTTTTCTCAGGGCTACTGCAAGTATTCAGTCCTGTTCTATGGTTATTACAACAGCCAGAGGACGATCGGCTTGCTGAAGTTCAGGCTGCCCCTGTCCTACCTCATGGTCGGGATCGGCACCTTCGGGTACAGCCTGATGGTTGTGATCCGCACGTGAGTCTGCAGCAGAATGAAGCTCAGGTGGCTCCATACAGTATGGTCGCTTTTCATTCATTTACTGTCAAACAACCTATTAAGTCATTTAAGTTTAAAAAATGCGACAAAACGAAGCAGGACTCAGGTATAACTTAAAGACATCAAGATAAAACAATTGTGTTTTTGGTGCTTAGTGATTCAAATATGAAGATCCATTTCCATATTGCTCCTTGTCTGCCTTCATGCCCATAAAGAAGGCTGTTTCGTTTTTTTCCAGTATGGCCAAGAACGCTGATGTCGGTGGTGGAGACGGAGAGGACGGAGAGTTTACATTTGCCTGGAAGATGTTCACCAGCTGGGATTACCTCATAGGCAACTCAGAGACCGCTGACAACAAGTATGCCTCCATCACCACCAGCTTCAAGGTAACCATAGCAACAGGTTTACCAGAAACATAAACAAGTGACTCTATTTCTCAGGACAACTGTTCATGTTCCATGTGTAGAGCTCACTGCTACACCGTTAATGCAGTCAATGACAGATTAAGTTCCCCTCTCTGTTCCTGTTTTGACAAACAACAGGAGTCCATTGTGGACGAGCAGGAGAACCAGAAGGATGAGAACATTCACCTGCGGAGGTTCCTCAGAGTCCTGGCTAACGTCATGATTATCTGCAGCCTCGGCGGCAGCGGATACCTCATCTACTTCGTGGTGAAGAGGTCTCAGGAATTCGCCAACAGAGATGACCTCAGCTGGTACGAGAAGAACGAGGTAATAATGGCCAGATGGTTCGGAAGGAAATATTCCTACTGCTGTTCCTGCTATCACTAATTATTGACTGTCACTAGTGATAATACTCCTGCTACGTCTACTACCACCACTGCTCACTCTCACCTCGAGACTCACCTAGTTCTTCTAGTTGCTTGTTCTGGAGCCTTTGGGCCTTGTGACACCCTGTAAATTATAAAAGTCAACAAAAAATAAACTGTAAAGGCCAGAGCCGGTCAGCCCTATACGCTCACTATGTGTAAGGCCCCGTAAATTTTCAAGCACCCTCCCCTTCATGTCAGAGTGGGTGTCAGTGTTTACAACTTAGATGAGAGGATGAACAGAACTATCCGTCAGAAAAAGAGGAAAAACACCATGAGAGTGAATTGTAGGAACAGGAATCAGGTAGACTTGTATCTGATGTCAGTAAATAACACTAATGTTGTATAGTAATGTAAGCTGATGTGCAGTTTGCAGTGAATCTGTCTGTCCGTCTGTCTGTCTGTCTGTCTGTCTGTCTGTCTGTCTGTCTCAGAAACAGCTGGACAGCTTTGTCTATACACTGTAAATATAAGCTGTGACAGACAGCTCTCTGTCTGTGTCTTCCAGGGCTATTCTCTGACTTTTTGTTTGAGAAAAGTGACAGTGAAATACAACTTTACAATTGCAACAGGCAACAGTGTTCATGAACTGTGTTAACTTCGTTCATATGCACGTACACATAGTGAAACCTGTGCTCTCTAGCAGACAGTATGTGGGTGTGATGGCTCTCCTCAAAGACACACATCATTTTAAAATAAGAAAATGATTATCAAGTCTCTCAGTAATTGACTGTTGATTAAATATTAAATTTGTTTATTGATAGTTGGACATACTGGGTAATGGATGCACGTCTCTCAGTAAATAATAACCATCAAGTATTCAGTCAAGCCAAAGTACAAATAGTATTTTATATGTGAAAGTGTATAAAAGGAAATGTTGGGGAGTCAGTTTAAAGGACCTGATGTAGATATTCTGAGACTTAAAGCTGCAGTCAGAGCCTACAGGCTTATATTTACATTGAACAGACAAAACTAATTATATAATATTGTGAGGACTGGACTAATTGCCAGGCAGCAATCCAATCCAATCCAATCCAACTTTATTTGTTAAGCACTTTAAAAACAACCAAAGTTGACCAAAGTGCTGTACAGGAGAATAAATAAGACATCATAAATGTAAACAGTGATGGTGATGATGAAGACCACTGTGAGGAACATAGACAGTGATGGCGACAACACTGGAAAGTTCCCGTGGCAGATAATATGGACGAAGTCCGACGGCGATGAGCTCGATGTCCGGGCTGCAGACGCTCTTTCACACAGACGTGCCCGGCGTTACACCACCTGTTGTTTATGAGCACGGACAGTCCCCCTCCTTTCTTCATGCCGGTCGCGGTGGTGTCCCTGTCGGCTCGAACCGTCTGGAAGCCGGGAATGGTGACGATGGAGTCCGGTATCTGCTCGATGATTGCAGGGATGTAGAGTTTAAAGCTCCTCTTCTTCATCCTCCGTTTAACCGCCGGGAATGGTGACGATGGAGTCCGGTATCTGCTCGATGATTGCAGGGATGTAGAGTTTAAAGCTCCTCTTCTTCATCCTCCGTTTAACCCCCGCTCTGCAGCCTCACCGTCTCCTCAGCTCCTCCGGTATGGAGGCTCTCTCTCCGGTCAGGATGCTAGGGGGCCTCAGGGCGATCATCTGGTCGCGGGTGTAAACAATGCGACTCCCCGTCGCCATGGAGACCAGCGTAAACAAAAAGTAAAAAGTATTTAGGAGACGTGAACAAAGTAGTAAGAAAGTAAGAAAAGAGTTCAAAATAGCAAAAACACACTGAAAACACACTAAAACTACAACAATGAAAGGAGCTGCCATGACAGGCTGCCGTTGTCGCTGGCGCCAAGGTTTGTAGTTTTTATTATTTTCAGCAGTTATATTGTCTACAGTGTTATTGTTAATATTCACTTAATATTCTATTAAATAAATATTGTTTGTTTATATCGGTACTAATTCTTAAACTGAAGGATGAAGCAAACAGTTTTAAAGGAGGAAGAATTGTAGTGGGAGCACTGTGTGTCTGTGGAGCAATTAGTTTACATGGCTCATTGGTCAGGTAGGAGGGCCCCCTAGCAGAACTTTGCTTAGGGCCCCAGGAAGGTCAGGACCCGCTCTGGTAAAGGTCTACAAATAATTCCCCTATATAGACTATATACATAGTAATAATCATAAAGACTTGGTTTGAGCAGCTCTGTTATGCAAGATTCTGTATGCCAAATAATTCTTAATGCTACTTCTAAACAGTTTCCAAATTTGAAGATCAGCAGAAAAATCTGTAATAATAACTTAGAAAACATAAAGTAACAGGGTGTCTGTGGGTTCCTAATGTCTAAAATCCAATAATCTTAATTTTTTTTAAATGTCCAAAATATAGTTTTGACAGGTGATGATGATGATTAGATTAACAAATTTAACATTGTTTGTATAAAGTTGCATTTTGCAGGCTCGCTTTCAAATGCGAGATAGGAATATTTTTTTTTGTAATTGAGACTGACATAGACAGATTTTCCTTCATATACTTACATGCTTGTATTTTTCTTTTTGCCATAATGGATGTAGAATTTGTCTTAAATTGCAGTCATAATAGTCTTAAAAAGGTCTTAAATGTCTTAAATTTAACCTGTTGAAACCTGCAGAAACCCTGTATAAAAACAGAGATAGAAAGACAAATATATATGTATGTGCACATATAATATACTGTATATAAGGGTGTTATCTGTTGTACTGAAATAGATATTTGTCTGATTTGGACAGTTGGAGCTCATCATGTCTCTGCTGGGTCTGGTGTGTCCTCCTCTGTTTGAGACCATTGCTGAGCTGGAGGACTACCATCCTCGAATCGCCCTCAAGTGGCAGCTCGGACGCATCTTCGCCCTCTTCCTGGGAAACCTCTACACCTTTCTGTTTGCTCTGTTTGATGAGGTCAACACCAAGGTATGGTAGCTGTGTGTGTGTGTGTGTGTGTGTGTGTGTGCGTGCGTGCGTGCGTGCGTGCGTGTCAAAACCCTTCAGACAGTCTTGGCACAATCTTGATATCTTTTTAACACTTTTCAACAAGTGTCTTGGCTTTAGTTTTGCCTTATTAGTGGCATCAGAATGTTGACCCTCTAGTTCTACCCTCGGACCAAAAGGGCAAGTTTGCACACAGAATATCTCATACATTTTAAATTGTTTGCAATCCAGGGTCTTTTCCTGTTGTGCCAACCCAAGGGTCAACTTTTCTAGCCCTGCTTCTGTATTGTAGGTTCATTTTAGCCACTAGGGGTCTCTAGCCAGACTTTACACACTGTGTTGTTGATTGTTAATTTTACCAGAATTTTACCAGAATTTTCCACAGTCATACAGTCATACAGTCATACAGTCTGTTTTGTAGAACTCTATATGATATTTATTTTAAAAAGTGGATGAGTACGATTTGTTTTTGATGGATGATCCACCAGACATTCACATGAAATAGAACAGAAACCTGTGTCTCCATTGACTGACTCCTTTCTTTGTACCTCGTAGCTGGAAGAAGAGGGGTCCATTAGGAACGCCTCCATCTGGGCCATGAAGGAGTACTACGCTAACTTCACACGTGCGATCAATGACACCGAGTCCACCCCACCCCCCATGGACCCTGCTGATGTCATCAGAGGACCCTGCTGGGAGACTGCCGTCGGAATAGTAATGAAAACTAGAACATTTCTGAATTTTGGGTGTGCCTGAATGCTAGGTGCATTGCGCCCTGTTAAGAAGCTACTGGAGTCTTTATTTTGAAAAACAAGGGTCATCCTGCACTTCCTGATAAAATACAGTTACTATATCTCTCTACCTTGAATATTAGAAGATTATTAGTTTAAATATTTTTTGAATCACAATTTCTCAAAAGTATGAAATATTATTTGTCATGAATGTTTTAAATTGAATGGAGAATGAACCGAGTTTCTGTGTGAACGTATGAATGCGTGGGAAGAGGTTGAAGATGAGTGGATTCAAAGGATTTTCTAATTGACTTTCATAACTAAATAGCTGAAAGATGTGAAATATTTTTGAAAAGTTTCTAGCTTAAAGTATGACTGGGAATTCTCCATAAGGAATGAATGGGAAAAAATCACCAGAAAACATGGAACATTTTGGAAATTATGAAAAGTATCAATAAAAAAATCCTAGCACATCTCCCCCAATCAAGCCACAGATTTTTTGTGTACGTGTGTGCAGAGGAAGAGGAAAAGGATGTTAATGGAAGATTAAATAAGTATGGTGAATAAAAGACTGTGTGTTAATGTGTATTATACATTCAGGCACACTGAATAAAATCTGATGGATTTTTTTTTGCATAACACAGAAACAACATATTTTAGCCACAGTCCTGTTATGCTATGATGGTTAATGCACTTCTTTTAAGAGAAAGGAATCAAATGAAATCAAAAAGTTATTCAGACACCACCTGTGCTGATGATTCTCCAACTTCCTGTTCAACATTTAAATCTTATCACTTGTATTTTAAGATTAATTGATTTCTTGAGTCTGCCGTTGTGATGTGAGATTAAGTCTCAATCTTATAATCACTAAAGACAGCTGAAACAGGGGACTTGTGGTTAGACAAACTGGGGTCACAAACCCGTTGGTTTCACCTTCCTGAACCTGTGTTGTTCCAGGAGTTTGTGAAGCTGACAGTGTCGGACATCCAGGTGTCCTACCTGACCATCCTGATTGGTGACTTTGCCAGAGCCGTCATCGTTCGCTTCCTCAACTACTGCTGGTGCTGGGACCTGGAGGCTGGATTTGTAAGTTCAGCCTTGATTCATTTTATTATTTATTATTTTCCTGCTGTGAGATGTTAAAATGTCTACAATGAGGAAGACTTGTTGAGCAATTATTGAGTTATTACTGATAGTATAGCTATAGAATACATGATTGTTTTATTTTTACGTTGTGAGCATGCAGAATGTCAGATTAGCCCTATATCATATGCAGCTGGAGCACACAGTAAATACAGCTGTTTAATTTAGGTGCATAAATTGCGATTAGTTCTCACACCATAACTTGCCAATGCTGAGTTAATGTTTAAGTACTGGACTAATCAGCGCCTGAAGAAACAGAATAACACAACAGACCTTTTTCACGTGTTGACTTGTTATAACTTGTTGTAACTAATAACCTTTACAGTGGTTCAGTCCCATTACCGAATGTTAGCATGTTTACACGCTAAACTAAGATGGCGAACGTGGTAAACACTATACCTGTTAAACATCAACATGTTAGCATTGTCATTGCAAGACAAGACAATTGTAAGACTCTTTGTCTTATTCCATCATTTTTAAAACTGTAAGCAGTTGCAGGTCAAACCCACTAATTTAGCTGAAATCTAGTTCCCTATATGCTGACCTGGGGACTTAAAGGACTTAAAGTCCCACACACTAGTCCTTTAAACTGTGAGTATGTAAAGCTGTCAGTAAATAGCAAGTAATCATTGTCTGTTGACTTTTAGCCGTCATACGGAGAGTTTGACATCAGTGGTAATGTGCTTGGATTGGTCTTCAATCAAGGGATGATCTGGTACAAACTTCATTTTTATATACAAACACTGCACACTCTCAATTGCCTGTGTGTGTGTGTGTGTGTGTGTGTGTGTGTGTGTGTGTGTGTGTGTGTGTGTGTGTGTGTGTGTGTGTGTGTGTGTGTGTGTTTGTGTGTGTGTTTACATGCATGGGTGTGTGTTCTGCATGCATATCCAGTATCACTGAGTGCCTAGATGATAACAATATGACACTGCCAGTGTTTGGGTCTCAGGTTGCAGTGCATTATCAACAGCACTTTGAATGACCATCACCAGTTACATGTAGTAAATTACACCGTATTATGTAACATTATACTATGCCATTTGTATCACCTTACTATTACTGTATAATGTAGTAATAGTAAGGTGATATATATTAAAATACTATATTGTTACTATTACTCCACTGTGTCTGGGTTTCTTGGCCTATGATCTGTTTTTAGAGCTTCTCATTAGAAGGAGAGTTGTTAAGTTGTGATTTTAGTTCATCGTGGCATTCTTTTGTATTTTAATTTTAAGAGCTTAATGGGACTTACAAATGGATTGTATACAGTAGATATGATATTCAAATACCAATGTTGAAATGTTTCACATGTTGTCCTTGTGTATTTCAGGATGGGTGCGTTTTATGCTCCTGGGCTGGTCGGCATCAACGTGCTCCGCCTCCTCAGCTCCATGTACTATCAGTGTTGGGCCGTGATGGCCACTAATGTCCCCCACGAGAGAGTCTTCAAGGCCTCCAAGTCCAACAACTTCTACATGGGCCTGCTGCTCCTCATCCTCTTCCTCAGTCTGTTACCTGTCGTCTACACCATCATGACCCTGCCGCCATCGTTTGACTGCGGACCCTTCAGGTAACAATATATTACAGATTATTGAGGTATGGGAGCCTAGTTAAAATGAGCATGTGCAAATACATACTCTCTCTCTCACACACACGCGCGCATTGACCATGTTGATGATTGCAGTGGGAAGCCGAAGATGTTTGATGTGATCATGGAGACCATCGACCTGGACCTGCCAGCCTTCATGGGGACGCTCTTCAGCTATGCAGCCAACCCAGGCCTCATCATACCCGCTGTACTGCTCATGGTGTAAGTGTATAGGAGACACAGTGGATATCATGCACACAAACACACAAACAGACAAGCACATAAACACACAAATGCACGCATGCACACACACACACACACACACACACACATACACATATATATGCAAGTGTGTGATTACACAAATAACTTGTTGTAGAGTGTGTGCCCAAAAAGGCTGCAAAACTTCCCATGTTGCCTTTGCAGCCACTGAAAAAATGGCAAATCCTCTCATTCTCCCTTACAGACTCGCCATCTACTATCTGAACTCAGTGTCTGAGGCCTACCAAAACTCCAACATGGAGCTAAAGAAGAAGATGCAGATGGTAAGAATAAAAGTGGTGTACACAATACAGTCTACCACAGAACTGCAGTGCTGAAATGACTAACTGTTTAGATTATTTTTAACCATTTCCTCAACTCTACTTTGTGTCCAGTACTAATTAGCACATGTTATCATGGTAAAATGCTATGCCAAGATGGCTACCATGGTAAACATTTACCAGCTAAAACATCAACATGTTCACACTGCCATCCCTTCAGTATTATGCACATGCATAATTTGCAGTATTTTCCCCAACAAATTCACTTTTTAGTCTGTTTGCTTGAAGCTACAGTGCCCAGCTGTTTTAGTATTTTTAAACTATTATATATATAAAAATATTTGTGAAGTGTTTTTTAAAGATTTACATCTTTAGTGGGAACAAAAAGGGTTTGGGGCTGAAAGTGACAGACAAGGGAGTATTGAGAGACTAACACATTATCTTTAACATAAATAACAACACATTCTCTCTCTCTCTCTCTCTCTCTCTCTCTCTCTCTCTCTCTGTCCAGGCTCGGGATGAAGAGAAGAACCGGAGGAACAACACGGACAGCACCAACCAGGTCATGAAAGACCTCGAGGACCTGCTGCCGAACCGATCCCTTGCCCCTCCACCTGTGCCTGGTTAGTAAACTCCCAGACAGCTGACCTGTCCTATGCAGATAGACTGTATGAAGAGAAACTGCCTCCATAATTAACATATTTCAGTTTTTTATATTATAAGAAAATATTGTATCTGTGTATCATTACTAATCCTAAGTTTTCCCCCTGTGTCATAATGTAAAAATCAATTTCCTTCTGGATATCGAACACTAATGTGTTATTAATGGTTTATGGTGAATACTAACAGCTCTGATTTCTCTGCATTCATTGAGGTATTATCATTTTGAATTCAAAACATGTGAAATCTAGAGATTCAGCTGATCCTTCACTGTCTCTGTCTAAACAGAAAAGGCACCAGAGCCGGAAGCAAAGCCGACTAAGACGAAGCCCGGGTCAGCTGGTAAAGGCGTTAACTTGCAGAAAGATGTGGCTCTGGCATCGCCCAACCCCAACGCTCGAGGGCCGGTGAGCCGGCCACCGGGGCCTAGAGGACCCGGAGCGATGCCGGGTCCGGGTCCAGGTGGCGGACCGGGCCGAGGCCGTGGGAGGGGGCCCCCTCCGAGATAACAATGTGAAAAAATCTCATTCCTGCAGGCTGTGTCCATCCCTCAGACAATCTGTTCATTTCACAGTTGGAGACAGAAATAAGCTCAAAAACAAGGTGTTGGAATTGTGGCATTTTGCAGTTACAGAGACCTTCATTTAGTCCTCATATTTCCTTACAGACATCAACAATAATTCAAAGTTTAACAGAGGTCATTTTTGAAAATTCCAGCTTAAACTGTAACCCACAGTATTGTTTCAAACACTGCAGTAAAAACCTCAATTCTGTCTTGAGTAACTTCTGATTCATGAAGGAAGACTGTGTTTTTGATCCATGTTTGTGGTCTAAAGGTGGGCAGGCACTGTGAGTTTTCATTCACCTTGTACTTTATGTTAATTATTATTTATTTTCTGAGACATCTGTTATGGAAGCGTATTGCTGCCATGTCAAAGAAAAACGTATCAGTGTAACGTTATAAAGTGAAAAGTTTCTTGTTATAACAAGATATTTACATGTTTTTATGACATACAAACATCTCACGTTATTTATATTGTTATAATGTTTGATGTTGTAAAGTAATAACTTATATTGTTTGAATGACACAATGACATGAGTTATTATGTTATAACAAGATAATAGTAAATTGTTATAACAAGAAAAGTTTCTGTTATAAGTCATAAGTTTGTCATAATACATGAAAATATCTTGTTATAATAATAAACTTTTTACAATATAACGTCTGTTTTTCTTTTTCCGGCGTGGTAGCAATACGTTGTCGCCTCAGGCTTTTTTGTTTTCTCTTACATTTACACTGACTTTGTAATTAATGGTATAATTCTGACTTTGCAATAAAGTTTAAAATCTTTTATCTGTGTTATTTTATTGTAATTTTTCCTACTTTTATTTTACTTTAATTTGAAATAAAAATTTAGTTATTTTCTTGAAACCACACAAGGAAAGGATGAACTCATAGATCGAAGTGAAACATTATTCATTAAGAACAAAATGAAGAACCCAGTGACTTTGTCTCCAACTGTTGTTGTTTTTTGTTTGACAGTGTTACTCAAAAAATTGAATTTATTACTCAATGCTCAATAGTTTTTTTAAAAGTAAAATTACATTACTCATTACTCCCTGCCAACAGTAATTAGTTACACTACTAGTTATATTACTTTTTCCACAAAGTTGGTAATTGTGTCCGTTCTCCACAAAATTCAGACTTTACGATTAAAATCCAGTTTTGTTTTTTAAAATCAAAACCTGCGCCTACATTACCCACAGTGCAACCTAGACTAAGACAGTTCAGTCAGAGATCTGGATGTGTTATGCTAGTAGCGGCTAATGTATTCTGGAGCTTCTAGCCTCAAGTAGAGGTTAGGAGTGGGCTACTGAGGTCTGGTAAACTCCACACCGCCAGATTTTTCATTTTCAGCCTTCAGCCCCAACCCACATTGACTCAAGTGACATCACTTGAGGAAATGTATCAGCCTTTGAGCAGCTCCCTCTGAAGGCAAAAAAGGTGTTACTGAATGTAGTAGCACTCCCCAACACAATAAACAGTACCCACAAAAAATGTGGAACATCAGGTTCAGTCATGTAATTGTGCAGAAAACAACAATGTGTTGTCTCAGGTCAGTAATTCATTTTTTACTGCAGCAGCTCCTTTAAAATATGAACTACAGTCACATTCATCTTGGTCATCACTGTTCCTTGTGTGTCTGTGTTAATGATACATTGTTTGAATAAAGGGTGAAGCGCACGCAAATTTACAATACAAGTCTGTGCAGAAGTCACCCAACCAGTCAGAAGTGCCCAAGCCTCTGATTGTCACCACGCAGGAATGTTGTCTTTGAGAGGTGGCAGACGATTGGCTGATCCTCTGTGGGTGAAAACACACCTGCCTGAAAATCATCTGCACAGAGACGGGTGGAGCCACTGCAGAGTCAGTTAAATACTGCGTCTCAGCACCTGAGATCTACAAAGAGACCGTGTAGAGACCATCTCCAGTAGCACAGGTGAGGTTTTTTTGGATGTTTAAATATAAAGAACAAGAAATAATTAAACCATCTCAAATTGTTAATTTCTTTTTCTTTTTTCTTTTTCCCACTACAGCAACTTCATTTCTGGTTTGAACTTACCAGCCAAGCAAACATGTCCTTTTTCAAGAAATTATTCAAAAATGTGATCAAAGACGGAGACCCCAAGGATGACACTGTCACAGTGAGTATCAGATCACATGGGAACGACCAGTCACAAGGAGAATACACCTGTTGTTGGCTAACTGCAGTTTTATTAGAAATAATGTTACTTCAGTTATGTTTTGCAATTTAAATCAAAATTTTCTCAAGCTAAATGACCACTATTAATATATTTGGAAGTTAAGGAGAAGCTTTCCCTAGGTCTTAGGAGTATTTGGCTTTCATATGAATTTGATTGTTTTTTAGTGAAATGACTTACTGACAGCTGTCTGTAGGGCTCTCAAACCTCTGCTGTTGTCACTTCATCGCCCTGTCATCCATCTGCATAAGGGTGGAGAAAGGAGCGATCCAAATAATCATAGACCAATATTCAAATGTTTGTGTTAAGTTAAATTTGTAGTCACTGGTAAACTGTCATTTTAAGGAATCTCTAACCACAAACTGTTCTGAGCCCACGTCAGTCCGCGTTCAGATGCATAGCTCTGTTTCTGCCATTACTTTGGTGGTGTATGACATTTCCAATGCCTTGGATGGGAAAAATCATTGTGCTGCCATCTTCGTGGACCTCTCCAAGGCACTTGACACTGTTGATCACTCCTTGTTTTTACATATTTCAAGTTATGTTTTTTTAAGCATCCTTCTTCAAAACTGAAGATCAAGGCTAGGTTTGAGTTCCAGAGTTAGTAAAACATCTGTATTTCTGGCTGCTGTTGTAGGTGAAGGGTAAGCCAAAACCTAGGTATTATGGAACAGTCACCCCATACCCGAACTTCAATGCCAGCAGTGATGCTTCAGTTCTTCAGGCCGCCATTAAGAGCAAAGGTGCGTGTGTCCACTTATGTTATCTTACAAATTCTGTCCTGTTGGGTTGTTCTTAAATGTTTCAGCAGGTGATGTACAATGTAAAGTTGGAGAATTCTGAAGAACAATTTAAAACATGGTTAATGTTTACAGAAAAACTTAATTTAAAGCCGCAAGTCACGCTGCTCCTCTGGTTTTCTTTGATTTAATGTACTTGTAAACTAAAACAAAAGTTTTTTTAAGGACACAAATCTTACTTGAAGACTCCACCTTTCTGACCTACATGCTGCTCTCTTTAAAGAAAGTAATGTAAAGTACAGCTTGTCCCTCACAGGAGTGGACGAGGATGTGATCATTGCAGTGCTGGTGAAGAGGAGCAACGAGCAGAGGCAGAAGATCAAAGTAGTTTATGAAGCGTCCACTGGGAAGGTGAGTTCTTCATTTCTCATGAAGACAGAGTTGAGTACGGTCAGACAATAATAAATCAGCAACAAGCTGAACACAGGCCAAAACAGCCAAAAGTTAAACTGTTAATATTGCTAAAATATGAACTGTTCAGCAACCTCCCTCTGACCTCACTATGTAAACTGTTTTGAGCTGTTACAGATTTGCAACACAAATGTCGTGACAGCAACAAGTCCTTCCATCCAGATCCACTTTATAAGAATTAAAGCTGCTATTGCACTTCTTATTTCCTCAGATTAACCCACTGGGTGTACATTGTATAAGCTGTTTTATTTGAGAGTTGCTTTGTCTGTTTCAACATTGTTTTGCTTATGTCCACTTAAAAGACTATGTGACATTTGAAAGAGGAAATTAATCGCAGCCCTACTTAATTCAATACACAGAGAGGTTTTGTTCCTACAACCTTGCTTGGTCCGGTACGACTGGTGTTATGGTGGCTAGTTTGTAAACTTTGAATAACTATTGCTGTTCAAGTGACAGTTCTGAGGCAGGTGGCTGACTTCATCAATGTAATTTGCCATTATCCCGTAGTTACTACCTGTGGCCACTGTTTAGCAAAATGTCTATGTTCTCGCCTTAAAGGACCAGTATGTAGGATTTAGTGGTATTTAGTGATGAAGCAACCATTTGAATACAGCCCAGTCTTCCAAGCTCATGACCAGAAACTTGGAAAAAACGCAAAAGGCCCTGTGTGTTTGGTTTGTCCGTTCTGAGCTGTAGAAACATGGCGGACTCCGTAGAAGAGGACCCGTTCCCTCTGTAGATAAAAACATCTCATTCTAAGCTTATTCATACTCAACAATTCTTATTTTCAGGTGATTATACTAGAAAACATATCTATGAATATTCTATTCCATTTCTGCCAATAGATCCTCCTCAATGTTACACAGTGAACCTTTAAAGAGGCTATGTGTGGAATTTGAAACATTTCCAACTTTGACACACCCTGGTGGTAGTATCAAAAAAAGGCCCTGTGGCAGATGTGAGAATCAAATCTAATCTTATTCTGTGTTGCAGAGCCTGGATAAATCCCTGAAGGCGGCTCTCAGGTCAGATTTAGAGGACGTCTCTCTGGCTCTGCTCATGGCGCCCCCTCACTTTGATGCCCACCTGCTCAGGAAGGCCACAAAGGTAAATATCTATCTGTATTTCCTAATGTCACTCTCATGCTGGCGGGGAGTCCCTCTCTGATTTGGCCTGTCCAAGGTCCAATATTTTCTTCATCTACAGGTTTGAGTGTTTTTACATTCAGAGATTTTTCCTGCTTGCCTTCTTTTCTACATCAGTGGAGAATGAGACCAAGTAAAAATGAGAGGAACCCCTGCTCACTGTCAGCACATCATTTAATAAAGAAAGTGAATTTTGAGCTGACCGTGTGCAGGGGGTTTTCAGCAGCAGTTACACACACTTACACCTGGAAGCTGCTTTTTTATTCCAGTCTCAGTTTGATCTGCTGGCTGCTGAGCAGCTGCCCTGTAGCAATGTAGTGGTTAAGTGCCTTGCTCAAGGGCTCCTTAAAGGGGAATGATGACATAGAGGCTAACAGTACTTTCCTGCCCAGATTTATTCTGCCAATCTGGGGATGGAACCAGCCTCCTGGTCACGAGTCTGCTTTTGCCTAGTTCTGATAAATCACTGCATTAACTAAATGATCAGAATGAATAATGACAAGTACAATGAATACAGTTAAAAGCATATTTTTCTGTAGATATTAGTTGTATACCTAATATTTTGAATGCTTGTATAGCATTTAGTTTGTAATTATGTTTAAAGAGTACCTTTTTAAATGATTTCGTCACACTTAGCATTTGCTCTATTCCCACAGCGTCTGGGCACAGATGAAGATGTCCTGGTGGAGGTTTTGGCAACAAGGTCAAACCAAGAGATTCAAGAACTGAAGAGGGTCTTTAAAGAAGGTTAGGCCAAATTCAGTGTAGTCACTCTGTTACTTGGTTGGCGCACTCGCAGAGCTCTGAGTTTCTGAAAAGTTTTCATATTTAATGCAACATCTGAAGTATTTACACTCTTTAGTGTCGCCAGTGCACACAGCAGTAGAACAATACTGAATTCCTAGACAGCGCAGCACTGTAATCACCCAGTCATGACGACAGTAAACAACAGCTATAACCACCGCAGGCATGCTGGGTTCCATTAAATTCATGCAAAGTCTGTTATCCTGCTGAAATGCTCTTCATTCCTTAGTGTACAAAACAGACCTGGAGGACGTTATTAAGGATGAAACCAGCGGTGACTTCACCACAGCCCTTCTGGCCATGTTGAAAGCTAACAGAGCTGAGAACACTGAAGTCGACACGGATCTGGCCCGAAGAGACGCACAGGTAAAATGAGGAAAATCAAGTTTTAAGGGATAATATTTTGCCAACAAATCCCATGAAAAAAAAACGTAACCAAAACACATATCTTCATTGGTTCCTTGTAAAGACAAGTGCATAGTTTGATTTTAACAAAAGGCCTGGTAATTTCTTAGAACAGCTGGGCATTGTAGTTTTTGTCAAACATCGCTCCAACAGGAGTAAATAGTACATTTGTTTGGGACTATTTTAATTTGTGGATTAACACACATTTGGTGCTCTAGTGAGTATTTACAGCAGCAGGACGGTGTGTGTGTGGGATTGAGTAAAAATAAACTATAGTGTGTGTGTTCATGGTAATGAAAGAACATGTGACTCACTGATAACAATGGAGCTCTATGGCACAGAGGAGGAATTGGCTACACAGTGGGAATTGTTGACAATAAGAATATATAGAATATCACCAGACTTCTCCTTTAATGCAAACGTCTTGAAGAGAACAATAATAACTGTTAATGTTACTGCATTGTTCCTGTAGACTCTGTTTGAGGCGGGTGAGAATACCGATGGAGTCAATGTTGATGCCTTCATCAACATCCTGACCACGCGGAGCGGCCCGCAGCTCTCTAAGAGTGAGTGCTTGAAATGTGTGAATGCTTCAGCTCATAAGTTTGACTCATCAGAGGCTGAAACAGCCAAACGCCCGACAAAAACACACACCTGGAAAAACAAGTGGAACCACACTCTTCCAGACTGACAGGTGGAACACACCCAGCAGTGTAGGAACAACACAGAACAAAGTCAGACAGATTTCTGTGTCTTCATCATCCATGGAGACCATGGTTTGCTCTTATCAAACAAAATGAAAAACAGTTGTGCCCTAGATGAGGTAATAGATTCTTTCAGTCTTCAGATGTATGTATCAAGTGAAGGTTTATTTCACACACACTGTCAACGTGGCGATGCTCCATTTACAGGAACATTTCTTTGTGCTACATACTTCATGACAAGTTGTAAAAAGCAAAAATAACTTCTATGAATGAAATGTCTAAAAGGAAGCTCGAGCTGGTGTTGCAGCTTTTCTAACAGCAATGTTTCTTTTGTAGTTCAGCTCAATGTTATTTTAGTCAATTTCGTTGGCCTGAATCTAATTTTCTTGCTCATATGTTACTCAGCTCAGATTTTTTTCATTACAGTGTACAAATCACATGCTGTTCTTTTCAGTTCTGATTTGGGCCACTTTCATATGTGGTCCAGATCAGACACAGGTTGGGTTTCTTTTTTTTTTTTTGCAACGTGACCTCAATGTGAACTGTGATCAGAATTCATGTTACTTTTAAGTCACTATAGGTCTAAATTTTATGCGGGTCACTTCAGTACCGTGATAATACTGGAATCTGATATGGGCCACATTTAACAAATAATGTGAACAGCCAAACAAAGAAAATCGGATCTGAGCAATAAATCAGAGTTGAGTGCTAAGGGTTGCAGTGTGTATGGATTTATGGAAGTTCATATCATATTTCAAACCAACTAAATACTGTTATTTTAACTTCCAGGAATGTTTGGGGTGTATGCAATGATCCCATACCTTGACTTTTTAGAGAGTCCTCAGCTTTGTGTCTGACAGGGAGCCCATTTACCCATAAATACCTGTTTGTCTGTTTACCTGCTAGCATTCCAGCAATACGCGTGCATCAGTGACATCACATTACCTAAAGCCCTGGACATGGAGCTGAAGGGAGACATTGAAGACTGTCTCACTGACATTGGTAAGGAGGATTTTATTATTTGCAGTACATGCAGAACTCATTTAAAAGGGCCTGAAAAACATTTTTCAGTCAGTCTCTTATTGTGGGAAATGTTCTCCTTCATAAACACGTTGAAACCTTTTCTGTCAAAATTAAAAGCGTTGTTAGTTTTTTCAAATGAGAGATTTATGTATGTATTTCTGTATCTGTCTGATCTGTGTTTTCCTCTGTGCTTTTTTTTTCCTCACTTGTTTGAAGTGAAATGGCTCAGTTGGAAAAGGGTGATATCATGCATCTCTGTGCACCAGTCAGGTTTTAGCAATATATGAGATACAGATGGGTGACAATTTAAATACCAATACAAACCTCCTAGTCCCTGAAACCATCACCATTCTCCAAAGATATTCATCAGATTCACATCATTTTCATTCTCAAAACCATTCAATTACCCCAAGTGTCCTGTATGGAAGCATCTGTTTCTCCACTCATTCATTTATCCTTTCATTTGTCACCTGTCTGTGTATAAATATAGTTATAGAATGTTGCTGGGCCACTGTCAATCAAATGTGATCAAACCACATCCACACAGTCCCGATGAAGCACATCAGTTGAGCTTTTTAGTGTTAATCTCTTAACAAATAATAGCTATGAATGTTTTTTTCCAAACTTACAAACCAAATACAGGAATACTTTATTTTCATGGGCTTTAACGCATTCATTTTTATCACTGATAAGCACTGAATGGTACCGTGTTGCTCCACAACAACACTACAGGCTGCTGTTCATCGTTCATATGTCGGACAGAACGAGTAAACGAATTATGAGCCAAAAAGGAATTCTGTCCAGTGGGTGGAGCAAGATAAAAGGTCATGGGAATTATTTTCAGATGTATGGACTGACAGACATTTTCATGCTAAAGAACCACTGCTAACTGTTTAACAAATGGCTTGAACTCAAACATAAATTAACTGTTTTGTTGTTAAGTCATTCAACATGTGGTATCCAGGCGCTGGAAGGAGGACATCCATAAATAACCAGAATAAACAAAGGGAGTGCAAAAAACCTCAAATGCACAAATAAAAAAATAATTCCAGCTCAACAAGCTCAACAAGCTCAAGTGAAGAGACGTGTATGAACCAACAGATATGAACAAGGCCATCTTCTGAACTACTTTAGCCTGAATGCAAAACTTCACAAGATGAACTATAACTGCTGACAGGGAAACAGAGAATTACTGTGAGCTGTCAGACACAGCAGCTGGACGGTGCATATTTTCAGTGATAATGTTTTTGTGTCTTTTTGACATTTAGTGAAATGTTCCTGGAACGCACCGGCTTTCTTCGCTGAGAAGCTCCATTTGGCAATGAAGGTGTGTATGAATCTCTCTCTTACCACTGTGTGTCAGTGTGTGTGTGTGTTTGGCTTTTCCACAGATATTCTTGCTGAGGGAGGTTTTCATTTCAGTTTTGCTGATGTGACTGGACCAATACATCATCTTGACCTACAACAACTGTTTTTATTGCTCATAATGGATAATAATAATAGAAATTTGCACAGATTTGCATTAATATACAGTAACTTAAACGATAGAGACATAGTTCAAGTTTTAGAATAATTGCATTATTTTTCCTACTTAGAGTGACATGGTCAAGGATTTCTTAATTATTGTATTTATGTCTTTTTTTCCAATGCCTGCTTAAATAGTGCAGATCTATAAGCTGCACTCACATGCAAATATGTCAAAACTGACAGTAGTAATGACAGGCTAGTTTGTAAACAAATCCCTGATGTGTAGCTGTGGTCACCATAAATATTGTCAGTGTTTGGAAAACACTGCATAACTGTAGGGATTGGTTATGCAACCAACACAGATGTAGACTGTAGTGATGGAACATAGTTTTCATACAAATATTGAATGAGAGCCCTTAACTAAACACTGTGTCACTGTGATTGAGGAGATGTGCAGGCTGATGCTCTCTACCTGTTCAGTGATCGAGCCTCTGCTCCGTTCTCACAGGGCCACGGCACATGCGAGGACACACTGATCAGGGTGCTGGTGAGCCGCTCTGAGATCGACCTGAAGAAGATCTTGGAGCAATACAGGGCCATGTATGATGTCAGCCTACAGGAGGACATAATGGTAAAATGACATACCGATGAAGTGTTTGAGTTTTCACTTCCACTTGATTTTCTCTCATTCAGTACTAAAACAAATGACAATATTGTATCAGAGTATTTCAGCTGACCACGTCTTTGTCTCTGTTTCACAGAAAGACACTAAGGGACATTATCGGGACATCCTGCTTGGACTGTGTGGACCTCACTGAAATTCTGTTGTAACAACTTAACTGGAAGTTGAGGATGCCACTGAAATCTCACATTTCTTTAATTATTACGACTAACGTGACCAGTCTGTCTTTATTGACTTGATGTTATCCCCCAGACAATCAGATAAGCATACTGTATCATACCCTCTTTCTGACAAAAACCCACTGCTAGTGGTAATAACAGCTTGTGTATGTTGTCAATAACAATCATTTTTCTTTTGGGAGTAAATTGTAATCAAAAGTTTAATAACATAACATATATGAGAAACTAATCTAAAAGATGTGAAAGACACAAAAAGGGGGGTGGAGTATGATATTTTTCTTTAAAGTTTTAAAATGCTTATCAATGTTATATTAATTGATAAAATGTTAGTGTGGTCCTGTTACTCTGGTTTTCCTTATTCAAATCTTTATGTCCATTTCCACATAACATCAGAGGGATGAGGTCGACTCATCGATTGCAAATACTGGGGCAGAAAAATATTTTAAAAAACATATACAGCTTCTTTCTGTTGTTTGGTGTTGTTTGGGCTATGCCCACTTGTATGTTGAGCAATTTTCTCTACATACTTATTGATTTATTATAACAAATGAAAAATAAGTGAAGGAGAAGGAAGGTGGAGCAGGACACCAGGAAATTAATTTAATTGGAAATAAATGCAACAACATATCCCATGAGTCTCTGACAATGAACCAGTCCCCCCCCCAATAAAAATACCCTAAATTATTCAAAATTGAACAAATGTATTTTCAGACTTCACATTCTTCACATTTTAGATTCACATCTAAAAAGAAATGATTGAAATGGTTGAACAAATAATGTTTGACAAATATATTTCTGACTCCACATTCCATCTCTGGTCTCCTCCACTACAATGCAAATGAATGGGTAGTTTCTTACACAGACGCTGATGACATCAGCAGGCTTTAAAACAAACGACCCCCTCAACAGGGCTTCATATTTTGATATTCATCCATATCAATGAATCATGCATAAAGTAGTCCCCTACACTGGGAGAAAAGGAAGATGGAGAGAAGAATTGGGGCTCTGGGAGGGTTGGAGGGAGGCGAAAGATAAGAACATGAGTAGACATTACATGCCCGAGACCCTTAGAATGATGATTTACTAATATAACAGTTAAGTAAGCAGTGATACCCCCTGTTGGCTGTTAAGGACAAATAAACAAGAAAGGTAAGCACAATAAATGATTCCCTGTGCAGTGCTTTTTGAATGATATGGCGAGCCTCTATGAAGTTGTGATTTATGGTGGCATGTTATGAGTTGCATACCGTCCAAAAAAAAAAAAATCACTTTTGTGTCCCCCCCCAATCCTGACATCGGATCTGCACCCCTGCTTTCTACGTTTAGTCATGATTATGAAATATCAAGTCTAAATGTTGACTTTGAGAGTCAAATTATGACATTTTTATTTAAGACAAACTTATGAGATTCTAAATGAGATAGCAAGTCAATATTTTGACATTTTGAAGAAATCTTAAGTAGCCTATTAGTGTCTCATGTCTGGTGAAAATGTGCTTCCATAAAATAACATTACCCTTTCGCCTCAGATAACAATATGGACTGAAACCCCAACAAAAAACAGTTAAAATGAATTCAGCAATTTAAATGACAAAGTAAAACCTCAGCACATGACTAACTTCCACCATCCAACATCGTCTTCGTCATCATCCGCCAAGTCTGGCTCTGGTGCAAACTGCGCAGGCGCAACGCTGACGAACACACGCACGTGACGTGGACTGTTTACCGTGTCCGGAAGTGCGGTGGCTTTTTAGCCAGCTCGGATGTTTTATCGTTTCATTACGGACTCCAGCTGTTGTTACTGTGGTCAACTCAACCGACAATTGTTGAATGTATTTCGCTCAGTCAGCGACCACGTGTGTTTGTTTGACGTACCCCGTCCACAGAGGAGAAACTTTGGATAAAACCTGAACTGCCATGCCAGAAGGCTAACTAGCTAACAGGCTAATCTGACTGTAGGTTTATTCCTGTGGAGAGTTTCTTTCAACACATTTAGTCTGAACGGAATCATGAATGTGAGTCAGAAGGAGCCTGGTCATATTCTTCACCTGTAAACGGGCTGTGGTTGGAGTTCACTGCTCAGCTAACAGTGATGTTAAAGACGCTGGGGACATAAATACAGCAGCTGGAGTTTGGGTGCGTGAAGATGGAAGAGAAATACAGCAGCAACGTCCTCTCGGGGGGGAAACTGGGCATGGTCGAAGTGCCCAACTCTAGGTATGTGTCTGTTTTTAAACCTACACTAAACCCATTTAGACAGATGACTGTAGTTTAAGGCTATATGTCACATTGAGGCTAGTTATTTTAAGCCCACATCACCAACTGAAACTAAATTATAGCTTCATGTATCTCAGTGTTCAGTATACTGAATATTGATCATCTGTTTAGTCTGTAAATGTCAGAAATACTGAATAACACCCATCACAATCACCCAGTGTCTGAGCTCTGAGGAAATAAGCCAATCCTCACATTTGAGAAGCTGGAACAAGTTTGCACTTTTTACTTGATAAATAACTTTAACGATCAAGGTTCAAGGTTGTTTATCGCCATTTCCACATACAGAGTACACAGGAACTAAATGATGTGCTATAATTGACACACAAGATACAAGATTCATACCCACTACAAACATTAAAGGCTTTAGTGATTGTATGTCAGTAGATCAATGGATTATCCAAATTATTCACCATCACCCACCGACTGTACTAATACATTTTCTTTGTCCTTGTGCTCCCTCTTCTTCAGACTAACTAGATACATAGTTTTACTGGTTGTCACGAAGGTCCTCAAGGCTCTCGGGATCTTTGAATCTTACGACATCCTAAAAGTTGTTCACATCGTCCACTTTATCTTCATATTAAAATTAGGGTAAGTACTCCATATGCTTGTTACTTGATTGAACTATGTGCTTGGTGTTGTGTATTGTTACTACTTTATATTGTTGGTTTTATGGATGTGACAACATGCTGACTGTGATCCTTCTCCTTTCTCAGGAGTGCTGTTATTCTGCTTTTCTTTCAAAAGCCTTTCTCCTCTGGAAAAGTCATCTCAAAAAGACAGGTTTGTTGGAAATTCCTCCTCTTTAACGTGTGTATGATCCAGCTCAGCCCAGTTTTTCTCTGTGGTTGTGTGTGTTTGTGTCTACCTGTTGTGATGATTAATCTGGTTTTTATTTAAATCTGTTTTCTTTGCAGTGGATAAAGTTACTAAAGCATGCTGTTTTCAGCTGTGTCATCTCCCTCCTGGGCTTCTTCGGTCTAACTCTCTGTGGGCCTCTGAGGTAAAATGTCACCATAAATGTGTGTTAGAGTGTGTTTTTCATAGCAGTTAAATGCAACAGTACTCATTACATATGTGTGAGTGAGCATATTTGTGTGGTTTTAACTGTGTGAGTGTGTTCATGCAGACTCTGAGTTAAAGGTGTGATGAGAATCTGGCTCGTGTCTTTTACAGGACGTTGTTGCTTTTTGAGCACAGTGACGTGGTGGTCATTGCTCTCCTCGGTGTCCTGTTCACAAGCTCCGGAGGCGGGCCGTCCAAGGTAGGAGGACACAAATGATTTTAAAATCAGAAACTTGTATTTATGAAAAGAAATGTCCCATATATTTTAAACTATGTTATTCATTGATGTATTATAGTGTCAGATCTTACACGCAGCAACCGCTTTATGCAGATGACCACTTCAGTGCTTTCTAAAGGATCATTGCAGTTTCCTACAACATGTCTTATTTTTATTGTTTTAGCCATCTTTCCTATCAGTAATACTAACATTGTACTCAGATCTCAGCAACTACTTTGGTGAGTACAACATGATCATAGCTAATAGAAATGGTGGCAAAAATGTTAAATAAGACTGAAGTTGTAATTAACCAGAATTCATATTTTCAGAGAGCATTTTGGGACTGACATAAGCTTAAACACTGCTTGAACTGAAACAACTGTGTTGGACTGTGTGTACTGCCTCAGATTAATATATTCCTGTGGCAGAAGCCTGTAATAAGCATTGCGTTGTCTTTTGTTTGTCCGTGACTGTCCACAGACCAGAGGCGCCGCTTTATTCATCATCGCTGTGATCTGCCTCCTCCTCTTTGACAACGACGATCTCATGGCAAAGATGGCGGAGCACCGTATCCTTTTCATCTTTTGAAGGGCAGCAGTTGCATCAGTTTTCACTGCTATTGACGCAGTCTGTTTGTGCATTATCACATTTATCTGTTTGTATTGTGTTTGCCTTGACTCATCTGCTAACCAGCTGAAGGACATCATGACAGCGCGCTCACTCATTTCCTCTACACTGCCATTGCATTTTTAGGGGTTGCAGATCACAAAGTAAGCTAAGCCTGTGTCACACATTCAATTGTAGGTTAAGTGCTGCCTACAGAAGCATAGTTAAGTATTGGTTTTGCTTCCTGACTTAATGTCCTCCCTCTGTCTTTCCGTCAGGGTGGTGTTGTGCTGCTGGTGGCCTCCTTGTGCCTGAAGGTGGGCTTCCACACTGCCTCCAGGAAACTGTCAGTGGAAATTGGTGGTGCAAAACGCCTCTATGCCCTTGACAACCTGGTTTCTGCCATGGTGCTGCTGCCCTGGGTCATTGTGCTCTCAGCAACCACAGAAGTAAGTGCACTGACAAAATGAGACAAAATGAGAGATCTCCGGATGCCTGTAGCCCATTTTGTTCTTTTGGTGGACATAGTGAACTGTTTTTATTTCTTAGAGAATATAAATTAGCCAGGGAGAACTTACTTACTTTTACCCACCAAATAGCCAAACTAGAGGTTCTGTTTCAAGTTATGAAATATAAGTCACAGGAATTGTTGTCTTTTCTCATCGTATTTTTAGGAAGGCCTAAGACATCTATGTGATTAGACCATTTATTTAAACTCTCTTTTTTCACTCCCTCTCAACACCAGAGTAAAGTAGAATCGTGGTCGTCCCTCATCCTGCCGTTCGGGATGATCATTTTCTCCGTAATGATCCTGGAGTTTTACGTCGAGGCCGTTTGCAGCGCAAAGATGGAGACGCCGAGATGCGCCCGCTACGGCACCATCGCCCTCTTCCTCAGCGCCCTGCTGCTGGCCAACTTCTGGACTCACCCACTGACCGACCAGCTGCGCTCCATGAGCAAACCGCCCCAGCAGGTCAGCACGGAGCATGTGCTCTCTGGAGGAGTGCTAGTCAGCGCCGTATTCTTCATCATGTGTAAGTAGCAGCTGTGGGAGTCAGCAGCAATGTTTTTTCTAAAGATAGAACTGAGCTGAAATTATAATCATAGTGCAGCCATTGATCATTTAAAGCTTACCTCAGATAATCCCTCTTCTTGGGATCAAAGTACTGTGCAGGTAATTT